CATACACAATCACACATTTAGATACAGACACACACTCCCTTACACATACAATATGTACTAATACACACCCAACACACGCACGCACACAAACAATCGCGCGCACACTCACGCACACCGAGACAGGCAGACAGCAGCACGGCTACATATCTATACAAGCACACCCAGAACACAAGCAGACACACACACGCGCACCGAAGCACATTCGCACACTTAAACAGACACAACCACACACAATCGAGCACTCGCACACACTCAAGAGGGAGGACCTTTTCTCACACACACACCCAGCCACATACATACAGACACGCACTCTTACATACGCGGACACAGACATGCGCCACAAAGATCCCCCCCCCCCGTATTGCCTGTAACATAATGTTGGGCCACGTGCTGTTAGTGTGCACCAATTAAGGTCGGCACGGCACACGGGGTGGGGGGGGGGGCAGAACCACGCCCGACCGCCTTTGTCTTCCTCGTGCCCATGTTTACACATACACGCATTCTTTTAATACACACCCCAGATACTCAACCTCACATAACACGTGCACTCACATCGAGAGAGAGAGACACACACACCTCGGGCAGGCACACACACGCACTCACATCAAGACACACACACAAACACGTGCACTCACATCGAGAGAGACACACCTATGGCAGGCACACACACGCACTCACATCGAGAAAGAGACACACACACACACAAACACGCGCGCGCACACCCAGACACACACACACACAAACACACACCCAGACGTACACACACACAGTCACACATCGAGAGAGAGAGAGACACGCACACACACACTCGCACACCCAGACGCACACACACACAAACACACACCCAGACGCACACACACACACAGTCACACATCGAGAGAGAGACACACACACACAAACACGCGCGCGCACACCCCATCTCGAGCAGTCCCAGCCCTGCAGGAAATCCTTACATCTGGATCTCGTTAGGCCTGGGCTGGGAGTTTGGAGAGAAGTTTTTTTGTAATTTTTCTCTTTTATTTTTTTGCTGGAAAAGTATTTCAGGAAAATGCGTTCACGCGGTGCGAGCTCAGCTTTTATGAACAAGCAGAGACGATGGCACGCCGCGACAGCACACCACACCGCAAGACACACCACCACGGCAGCACACCACAAGACACACCACACCACAAGACACACCACAAGACACACCACACCACGAGACACACCACCACGGCAGCACACCACAAGACACACCACACCACGAGACACACCACACCACGAGACACACCACACCACGAGACACACCACACCACAAGACACACCACACCACGAGACACACCACCACGGCAGCACACCACAAGACACACCACACCACGACACACACCACACCACGAGACACACCACACCACAAGACACACCACAAGACACACCACACCACGAGACACACCACACCACGAGACACACCACACCACAAGACACACCACACCACAAGACACACCACACCACGAGACACACCATACCACAAGACACACCACACCACAAGACACACCACACCACAAGACACACCACACCACAAGACACACCACACCACAAGACACACCACACCACGAGACACACCACACCACGAGACACACCACATCACACCACACCACGAGACACACCACACCACGAGACACACCACACCACGAGACACACCACGGCAACACACCACAAGACACACCAGGGCAGCATACCACATCACAAGGCACAGCACGGCAACACAAGACACACCACCACGGCAGCACACCACACCACAAGACACACCACGGCAACACACCACACCACAAGACACACCAGGGCAGCATACCACATCACAAGACACACCACGGCAACACACCACAAGACACACCACCACGGCAGCACACCACACCACAAGACACACCACGGCAACACACCACACCATAAGACACACCAGGGCAGCATACCACACCACAAGACACACCACGGCAACACACCACACCACAAGACACACCAGGGCAGCATACCACCCCACAAGACACATCACACAACTATCCCATAGAAACACCATCCCGCATACGATAGCATACAACACGCCATTGCACACGCATCACACACAGACACACTACAACCTCCATACCAACACCCCACATACACCACACACTCTGCACAAAAACGGGGCACATCACTGGCGAGAAACACCCCGCAGCACAAACCCAACAATGAATGACACAACAGCACGAAACAAACAACACAAACAGACACACACCATGGCATAACACAGCAGCACACCACGCTCAGCAATGCAATAAAATAGCCCTCACCAAGCCGTAAAACACCCCACATCACACACAACGTGAACACACCACACCACACACCACACACCGCATCACACATCACACACCACATACCACATCACACACCACACACCACACACAATGTGAACACACCACGCCGTAAAACACCCCACATCACACACAACGTGAACACACCACACCACACACCACACACCGCATCAAACACCACATACCACACACCACATCACACACCACACACCACACCACACAGAATGTGAACACACCACGCCGTAAAACACACTGCATCACACACAACGTGAACACACCACACCACACACCACACCACACACCACGCCACACACCACGCCACACACCACATCACACACCACACCACACACCACACCACACACAACTTGAACACACCACATCACACCACATCACACACCATACCACACACCACGCCACACACCACATCACACACCACACCACACACCACATCACACACCACACACCACACCACACACCACACCACACACAACGTGAACACACCACACCACACACCACACCACACACCATACCACACACCACATCACACATCACACCACACACCACACCACACACCACATCACACACCTCACATCACACACCACACATCACACACCACACACCACATCACACACCACACCACACACCACATCACACACCACACCACACACCACATCACACACCACATCACACATCACACACCACACCGCACACACACCACACCACACACCACACACCACATCACACATCACACACCACACATCACACACCACACACCACACCACACCACACACCACACCACATCACACACCACACACCACATCACACATCACACACCACACACAGCGTGAACACACCACACACACACCACACACCACATCACACACCACACACCACACCACATCACACACCACACCACACACCACATCACACACATCACACACCACATCACACCCCACATCACACACCACACCACACACCACACCACACACAGCGTGAACACACCACACCACACACACACCACACACCACATCACACACCACACACCACACCACATCACACACCACACCACACACCACATCACACACATCACACACCACATCACACACCACATCACACACCAAACACCACACCACACACCACATCACACACCACATCACACACCACACACCACACCACACACCACATCACACACCACACCACACACCACATCACACACCACGCCGCACACCACAGCAAACTGTTTTTAAACTTCGCCCCACAGCCCAAATTGTTCTCACCACACCTCACACTCGAGCCCACATTTCACCCCACCACGCCACACCTCGCACTAACACACTCTACGCGGTAAGAGGTGACGCACTCCTCCCTTATTCCACCCCGAGACTGCGCGGTGGGGTTGGAGGATCACGCACGGATGGGTGTCCTATATCGTCCGATTTGAGGAGCCGTGATGATGATGATCGCGTCGGTGGTGAGAATGATGGCGAGGCGTTGTGGGACGCAGGGCAGCGAGGTGGTGCCTGCCTGTAGGAGGCAGGGCGGCAAGTAGGATTGTTGCAGCTTATATGTGCAGGGGATATTGAGAGTTGCGTGGGGTTCTTCACTCATACACGTAAACATGGACATTGTCAGTCCACTGCTGGATGATGGCCTCCCTTCGTCATCCTTCGTGGTCCTGCGATGCCACGATCTCACTCCCCGCACATGACCTGATCTCATCATCGCTCCATCCCCGTGGTGGTCACCATCTTGGGCATGTCCCTCACCTTATGGCTGTCGATCTCTTATGAGTATCGAGCACAGTATTTGCTGTCGATACCTTCCAGCGGTGCCCTGTACAAGCCCACTTACCTCTGTCAAAATGTCTCACTGGCATTTGTGCTGGGATTGGCGTGCTCTTTCTGCCGTCTTCGTTTAAATCTCAGTGTGCATCACTACATGCACACTCTTCAGCCGTTGTTCTATATTCTTGGTCAATGTCCGCGGTTTTAATCCACATCAACAACCATGATCTAACCACTGCTGAGCCAAAAGGCCTCTCCAAGCCGTCGCCGTCTCTCACAGCATTGCGATGCCACAATCCATCTCACTCCTGCACATTTGTTGATCTCACCGCTCCATCTCCGGAGCGGAGGTTCTGTCAGGCGTAATCTCCTTATTCTAGTCCACACATACTCACGCGCCTAAAACAAATAACACTAAAACCACATAATATATCATTAACACGGCCTTAAAAGATAAATAGAATAAGCTGGCAAAGAAGGGTCGGCCACGGGTTACATCACTTGCGAGCGATGTCTGAACCCTGTCCTGACCCCCACCCTTGCCATCACCAGCCTGCAACGACCAGCGTGAAGTATGGTCAAACAACCCCACATGAGCAATACGACGTGGGGAGGCCTTCAATGGTTACTAATTACATCTACAAAAGGATGTATTTCTTGCCTTCCACGCCGCAATGGGTTTGCCCCTAGGTCCAATCAGCCTAGAACCCGGGCTTACTTTCACATGTGCTGTCCTTTGCCCTCTGATAAACACTAGGGATTCCACAGTTTCGAGAATTCAACTCATGCATGTGGACGTACATGATCACTACAACAGGCAACATTCACCACATCATTAAACTTTTGAAAAATGATTATTTTTATTATTAATTTTTATATAAAAAATGGCAAACAAATCCCTCCCCTCCCAACATAATAATTATAACAACACAATAAGTGAAACCACAGCCCAGCAAGACTCGATGCAAACACGGCGGTATGAATTATGATGTTGGACTCATGGGCACGAATAACAACAGCAACAGCCACCCCTCGGTGGTGGTGGTGGTGGTCGCGGTGACATCAGCGTGGGAGCCGGTGCCAAGCTTGGTTCATTCGGAGGCCACGTGGAGTGTAGAGGGCTCAATTTCCACGCGACAAGCCACTCCGTTGAGCTATCATTTGTGGCCAGGTCGCTTCTGAAAAATAAGCTAATAGCTTAGTGGGCCTTACCTGGTAAAATAAAAAAAAGAAATCGTGTTTTTGTATCGTTCGTTGTAACTTTCTGACCCGCTCGTACTGGACATCTGTGAAAAAGAGCTTTCTAGCTCATCGGATTACTCCACTATACAGATTCTGATTCTGCTCGTCTGATGGAATTGTGAAGGCCACCTGATGGGTGGACACGGGACAAGACTCAGAAGGCATCAATGATACAATTCTGCTCATTTTTGCGAGCCTCTTCCGCCCGCTGTGTTGTTGCTGGAGGCCGGCTGCCTCCAAGTGCCCAGTAACTTCCTTCGTTAGCCTACTCCACAGATACTGTCAATTGAAATCTGGTGCAGTAATACCCCGATTTACGTCTCCCCATTTTACGTCGTTTCGCAAATACGCTGTCGCTTTATTAACGCCACGACCCGATTTCCGTCGCCTCATCCCACACTTACGTCGCTGACAGCGTCATCCATCCTTTCTCGTATCCGTCGCCTCTCAGCGTTCGTCTCCACCTATAAACCCTCTACACCAACTACTTTGCATTGCGCATAAAGAAATGCGCTGTAGAGTAACAATATATTTACGTGCAGTATTTTGGTGATTTTATAGCGGACTGTAACTTATTGTACCCTGCATCATTTGTGTTAAAGTTTACTGCTGTGCACTAGTGTTGAATACAATATGTTTTGTAATGTAATGGAACGTTCTGGGTACGTCTAGGATGAAGATGCAGAGCTTCGCCAATAGCCTCCGTTGTCTTTGTTTAGCTGTGGTGGAGAAATTGCTTTGATTGACATCGTTTCGATATTCGTCGCACACTTCTAGGAACACATCCCCAACGTAAACCGGGGTATTACTTCCTGTACCACATCGGCCCGTCTTCTTCTCGAGCTCGTACTGCTTAGTCCCCTCTATCTGGTTAAGCAGAAGCTGCTGGGGCATGCAGTGAAACTACATGACCCAGCCAATGCATCTTTGTTTGAAGCTCACTGATGGGACTGTCCAGATATTTCAAGGAACGATGAGCTCCTCACACAGTCCAATCTGGCTGGATTACCCCAGAATGGGTCATAGGCAGGCCTGCATGAATGCATAAATCTATCGCGGGTGTTCCTGTCAAGGTGTCCACATTCACACGCAGAGAGAGGGCGCGATTGTTTCTGAGATGGCCTGGACCTTGTCGAGTGAGAGGCCAGGGAGCTTCTACACATCATTACGCAGCCGATGAAATGATAATGCCGCTCAACTGAAACCCTCAGCTGCCAAACCCGGAGCTGACCATCTGCACACTGCCCAGATCTGGGGATTCCTCCGCCCTCTCCGCCACCACCGAAGTGCTGACAGAGAGGGCCGAGGGTTCAGTGCTCAGTGACACAAAGCATCGCAACAGGTGTTCTCGTGCAGCCAATATTGTTGTTTACATCAACATCTCCAACTCCTTCAAAGAAGCATGCCTAGATCCACACGATGAGCATCAACTGCCCCACCACTACTGTACCTGCACTAAATGGGCTCTCCCTCTGCACAGCCATTCATCATTCCTACCCAGTGGCGTGGTGTGCAAGGAATGAAATGAGACCCCCTTTTCAATTTACCCCCCACCTCTCCCACTCTTCGTAGACCGGCGCCTGTCAACCCAAAGGCTCGTGGCTCTCGGTGCAGTTGCATCGCCTGCACACTCGAAAGCTGTTACCGCCGCTTAAAACCACGCCAGTCAAAATGGACGTTTAGTAACGTGTAGGCCAAGGGGCACGTCTGTTTAACACTCGGGCGCTTGGCTCTAAACTCTGACCTCTGACCCGCAAGCTGGGTCCTTAGCGACTTTGAGTGGTGGTGGGGGGTGTGCGGATCTGGTGCTCCGAGGGCACGGACTAGTGCTCCAGATAAGCTGTGTACCGAGTGTTTTGCGTATTTAAAACCATTAACCATGCATGCCACTGAAATTAAACGCGTACTGATAGTTTGCTGCACGACTTGAGTCCGCCTGACAGAAATTCGCTGATGCGCATGCAGAGGAGTGGTCAAGTGACCATCGAGGTCCATGAGTGGGCATTCGGTAGCGAGTACCGCAAAAATGCAGCGCTTGTTTTTCCATGTCTTTTGTAATCTAAATAGTGTAGCGCGATTTTGAAAGAAACCCCCGGGTTTGTAAGACCCACGTTTTTCTGCACGGTCGTACCAATTATCTATGCAGTGCAGTAGTTTAAAGTAACATTGCAGTTAAAATTTAAGGCTCAAGCTACTGCAACCCCCCCCCCCCCATGAGTTAGCGGGAGAGATTGTAGAGAACTGATCAAAATGACTCTGAAAGTATATCTTACTCACGGTAACCAAACCGCGAGGTAAATTCTTCAACCTTATAGGGAGCGTCGGCCACGAAGCGTGGCCCTTCCACAGTCGCGGCCTCCGAATGGATTCGCGAGGCCTAACCAAGGAGGCCTGGGAGTCACAGGCCCAAGTCTGTGTGGGCCTTCTCACGAGAACAGCAGCAGCAGCAGTAGCCAATGAGTGGCGGTTCATGCCACCGCAGTGCTCGTAGCCAGGCTAGATGCACCTTGAGGTCAAGCGGAGTGGTGATTTCAGGACAGAGGAGATGCTGTGGGTTTTACAGGGACGACCGCGGTGGACGGAGGGGATCGTTCTCTGTCCCTTTTTGGCACGAAACACATTGGATCTGGAACAGCAAACTCGCTACAGTTATACAGCACGGTCGGGGGTGGTGGGGATGAAGGGAGTTTACAAAGCATTAACAACAAAAAACACGGCCGTATCTTCGGGAGACACAAACACGGCCCAAAATGGAACGGGGAAGTGCTTGAGAGAGTGAACACGACGTGCCCGCACACACACACACGGGCACGCGCGCCACTACACCATTGGCGCACAGCAGGAGCACGTGCGCGCGTAGAAGAAGTTTGCACGTGGGAGCGAGAAGGGGGGGGGGGCGGGGGTGTCACTCGTGCGACACTGGAGATGACGTTGTGGGTGGGAAGGGGGTCATCTCTACATTGTGGGGGGAAGGGGGCACTGAAGACAATGTTGTGGGTGGGAGAGGGGGGTCATCTCTACATTGTGAGGGGGGGGGGGCACGTGTATACAGTGATGGCGCGGTGTGTGCAGCAGTGTCTACAGCAGAGGGGATTCAGGAGGAATGTGCCTTTCTCACAGGACATTATCCATGAACAACGCACATTTAATTGGTCATCTAATGCTTAGGGCATAGGCAGTTCCACAATTGACGAGGTACCGTAAAAGACGTGAGGGTAAATGATTCGTTTTTGATAAAAAGCCGAGACCCTGCTTCTTACGCCGATGTCGGCCCACTTCACACGCGACAGGCGACGTGTACATCTAATCTCTCAAACACATTTGAAAGGGTGCCCCCCACCCCACCGCCATCCATCGGTCAGCTGCCCCTTTGGGATCGTTAGTCTCCCAGTAGGGAGCGATGATTGGCCAAAGTGTAATCCCGAACGAGTGATTCGCGGTGGGATTTTTTTCTCTTCGAATTTCGCTCACTTCGACCGCGATGCCAGCACGCAAAATTGCAGGCTCGTTTTCGAATACCGTCAGGGGATCTCTTTAACATCCGCTTGTGAAGCGGATGCACTTGGACGAACGGTGCGTTCACTTTTTTGCTGTTGTTCGTGTCAAATCATTGACTCGTTCCATAAATATGCAGTGTTTTCTCAAACTAGAGTGGACTACCTTCAAATTGACAGGCCCTGTGTATTAGTGGGAAGATTGTGATGGCGATGTTCCCAACTGTACACATTTTGTTCAGTGCCAGCGCTCAGGTTGACAGAAACAGAGGAGACTCCTTTGCCGTGACAGTATCCAGGCTCATGCGGTGGGATCTCTGCTTTGTATTCTGTGTCTGTGTCACTCCCTCTCTCTCTCCGTGTTTTTATTTCCTCGGGCTCAGAGTTGCAACAGAGGTTTAGCCGAGCGGAATTATTTGCGAATTCATCGATATAAGAACAAAAAACAAGATATTTAATTGTACACACATTGCAGATAATCTCTCTGTATCATTATCTCTGTATCTCACACTCGTTCTCTTGATATCTTAGGCTCTCTCGTGATATACACTCCAGAATGCATCTCCTCTCTCTGATTCTCAAGCTCGTCACTGTTCTCCATCTACTTATCTCCATCTAACAGCCTCTCCGTAATCTCCTTACCTGCCCTCTTCCGTCCCTCTCTCCACCATCAACTATCGCTTTGCCCACCTGACCTAGCCAGGGTCAGGCTACTTCTTGTCGATATCACACGCAATAGTTCACAGCTGATATTGCCTGTTCCGATCTACTTAAACAGAAAAAAACACCCAGGTGCTCCCTGTCTTGACTCCCACCCGCACTGCGTGGAGGCGTCGATCTGCCCAGCATCAACCGGCAAACTCAGCCGCTGGTGACGACCAGGCTCAGCTCAATGGTGGAGTCTCTCCTCGTCTCAGTGTCCGTTTTGTCTCGATGCCCCGGTTCCTACGCCACCTCCTCCCGTCCATCGTCATCTGCTCCTCTTTGCACCAGCACTCAAATTCGAATTTCCATTCCATCATCCCCATCATCTTCATCATCGTCATCAAGAGAGCCTCGAGTCGAGACTGCCCCCCTGCCGCTGGCGCCGCTGCCGCTGCCACCGGTCACGATCATGAGCGGCGTGACGGCTGAGCACGGCAGGAGGTAGGGGGGCACGACCCCAGCGAGTGCCGCGGAGCCCGGCGCCCCCGTGGGCGGCGCCAGCGGAGAGAGGCTCGGCGAAAGCAGCGGCGACATGGCGCCCGACGGAACTGATGACGGCAGCAGCGTCGCCACGGGGTAAGGGCCGCCGCCGCAACTACCGCCACCGTACGGGTTTTCGTCCTCATCGGCCGCACCGGCAAGCGCGGGTGGCGTGACTAGAGGTGGCATGGGCAGCAGCGCCGTGCGGGCGTACGGGTACGGCAGCGGGCGCGCCGGTGGCACCGAGCGGGCACTGGATGCCGCCACGCTCGTGATGAGCGGGGGCGGCAGGATCTTGGCGCAATCGCGGCTTATCCGCTCGCTCGGCATCCCGGCGACCGCCCGGCGAGCCGCGCCGACGCCGCCGGCACCGCCGACGGCGAAAGCCGCCGGTGCCTCGGACGGGCGGTCGTTCTCGTCGCGGAGTCGCCCGATCTCGGCAAAGACGCTCGCCATGGCGCCAAACCGGGGGCCGAAGTCCAGCAGCTGCCCGAGCTTCCCTCCCTGGAGGTGCAGCTGCTGGTGCTGCTGCTGCTGAGCATCATCCTCGACGCCATCGTTCACCACGGCCGCCGTCCGGTGGGGCTGGTGCCCGATCTCGGAGAAGGCTGAGGATTTGCGCACGGGCGTGAGCGCGGCGGAGGTGAAGGCCGACCGGAGCGAGGATGCGGTGGACGGGGGCGACCCCGCCGCCGCTGCCGCCGTGGCCGAGGAGGAGGACGAAGAGGGGGAGAGGGGGGCGGTGCCGCCGGCCTCGTCCGCCAGCGTGGACGCCGACGAGTAGGAGCTAAAGCGGCGAGCGCCATCGGTCGCGAGCGCCAGGCCGGGGCCGCTGCCCTCTCTGCCCGGCGCGTGGGAGCCTCCCGCGGTGGTCGCTGCCAGCGACGTTCGGGTCAGCGTGGACGCTGACGGGGTCCGGGGCTCCATGTCGGCGTCTGACGCCGTGGCCTGCGCAGGGCCGACAGAACGAGGAGGGATGAGGGGGAGCAGGGGGGCGGGGGTGAAGGGGGGAGATGCAGATGGAGAGTGACAAAGTGAAGGTGAGGAGGTAAAGATGACGAGGAATGTGACGGCACATGGAGGATGAGATGGACAGATGAGTTACGATAGGGAAAGAGGGGAACACGGCAGAGAGATGAACAGAGACAGGAAAACAGTCGAGTGAAGAGAAAACAGACAGATGTAGAGGGAGAAAGAAAGATACATTTTAACAAGATAAATTTAAATAACAAATCGACCCTAATTCTGCCCAACAGCTAATTTCATCTGTCTAACTGCCCCCCAGCACACGTCCGACTGTCTGTTGCAAGACCCGCACCTCCACGGTGACAGCAGAGGTCACGGATTTCCCGTCGCGGGAGGCGCGCGACGTGCGGGAGACATCCGACAGCTGATCCTCGTCCTGCAGGATGCCTGAGTCCGGTAGGCGCCGGCACGCGTGCTGCTGCTGCTGCTGATGATGGTGGTGGTGGTGCCCATGGTGGTGGTGACCACCGGCATTGCTTCCGCTGCCACCACCACCACCGTGGTGATGGTGGTGATGGTGGTGGCGGTGCTGCTGGGAGGCGTCCGGGCGATCGACGTCACCGTCTGCTTCACCTCGGCAGCGGCAGCAGTCGGAGACGCAGCACCCGGTGGGGGCGAGGCAGCAGCCACCGCCACCGACGCCGCTGCCACCGCCGCCAACGCCTGTGCCGGCACCGCAGCAGCAGCTGCCGGAGCTGTCGGGGCCACCAGATTTCCCGGAGAAGCCGGAGGCACGCAGGATCTCGTTGATCATGCGGATCTCGGCGTCCACGCCGAAGTCGGTTTCGGCCGAGCCTCGACCCGAGGCCGAGCCGGATCCGGAGCAGGAGCATGAACCGGAGCCGGAACCGGCACGAGAATCGGGGCAGCCGCCCCCACCTCCTTCAGCAAAGATTTAAACGACGATCAGAAACGGGATCATAATGACTGCAGCCAATAACTACATCATTAACACCGACACCACCTCCACAATGTCATTAACTCCATCGCTACCATAATCATCATTGGTACCACCACTAACACAATACCGCCACTACCATGACCATTATATATATGATCACAACCATATTTAATTAACACCAACGCCAAGACATCAACAAATGTTGATGTAAAGCTGCAAAGCGTTGCACTTTGCTCTGCAACACAGTTAAACTTTGTCCAAATGAGATTTTAAATTTTGCTGGTGCACTAGCAACATGCTCTTGATTGGCTAGGTGGTCGTCACGGCAACCCGGCAACTTTATCCAACATGGCCGATTTTTGTTTATTTTTAAGACAGAGACAGGAGCTATTGTTGAACATGTATTAAACTGTCTTATGCTGAGTATGTACACAATGTCGTCTATTTTTTTTCACATTATCACTTTTCTAACATATTCTTCATTTAATTTACAGGCCAGGCAAGACCAGCCGCTTTCCTCGCCTAGATCCCCTGCTGGGCTCCTTGGACCAAGTTGCCCAGGCTAGTGAGAAGGGCGGAGGTGGGGATTTCCGGGCTCCACTTTATTTTACAGAGACATCGGCCACAATTGAGTTGAACATAAAACACAAGCAATGTAGTTGCAGTGTTTAACATAGAATGGGCCAAAAAAGATACGTTGCCAAAAATTTCCCTGTTTAGTGATGAGATAATCTGCCTGTGGGATTTCATTACGCATTGCTAAACTATGACAATAATGCCAGTCAATTGTGAGTAAAACGCTCATGAGAATGTTTCTTCAAAACTGCCTAGGGTAAATTTTAGAACAAATGATGGTGATGACGACGACAACGATGATGATGATGATGCAACAGAATCTTAACATCCAATTTACAGTGGATTACAAAAATTCCTGGGGAAATTACGTCACCGGATGATGCATGTTTTTGTACCGATGGTTACGCAGGATGCATGGATTCATTGCAATTGATTTATTTAAACTGCAGCAGTGGCCAGGTGGTTCAGAGTGTGTCAGAGCACTAAGTCGGTAGCTGCCAAGATCCTGGGATTGAATCCGGATTTCAGCCACCTGTGATTAAGCCGCAATCTCAAGTGCCACGAGTTGATGGTCACAAATAAATGTACAAAAAAACATCACGAAATTTGGTTTTGCACTTGGCTAAATTCCAGCTCTGAGAATCACAAATATTCGTTTCCCTGTCATGCGACAAACATCGACATGTCTCACGTCGGGTTGGAAAAATGCACTTCCCCTCGTGTGGATTGATCTCAGAGTAGTTCCGTGGCTTGCAGAAGGAGATGCCATTCTCCAACATGGGATGATGCACTGCTCGCTCTGAGAGCTGTCAACGGATATACCCTCATATAATGACAATATGACCATTGCGTGGCTAAAATACAAAAAATAAGTGGATAAATAACAGAACAAATTTAACCCCGGACATTTTATGCTTGCAAATTTTATCGCAGAAGGGAATGTGTGGAAATACAGGGAGGGGTACAGGGAGACACAAGGGAGGCATTGGAAGGAACAACAGAGAAACACAGGGAGGAATGCGCGAGTGGTGGTGGTTGTCTCACCCCCACCTGTGTCGGAGCCTCCGTGCCGACAGCAGCAGCAGGATGTCACGGCGGCGGTGATGGTGGTGGCGGTGGCGCTGGACGGGGAGTGGGTGGGAGCGGAGCCGGCGTGGGCCTCGCGTGGCCCGCGGGTGCCGGGGGAGTAGCAGGGAGGCTCCTCGTCCGGGTACGGCGCTGTGATCGAGTACACGCACGGACGGCGCGCGCGGTCTGCCGGGAACAAAAACACGGACAAAACAAATAACACTCCTCAAGTAATTTTGTTTCACTTTTCATTCCTTGACACAGATTCTCCTGCACGTGGTTAGGTGCAGAGGGGCCTCTCCGTTGGGTCCTAAACTCTACGACTTGGATAGCCGCTCAAGGATCCCCGCGGAGTGCCTGAAAGACTTTGGATTGTCTGCAGCGAGGCAGCAAGTGTTGGGGAAGAATGTGGTTATGTGGATTATGTGGGTGCCAAACATTAACATCGAGGCAGTGACTCGATGAATCATCACAATTCGGGTTCGCGATTCATTTCAACAATCGCTTTGTTTTGTGTTTACTGTCTCGGTCGCACTGTTTCTCTTATCTTCTACCTTGTTTGTACAGTTTACTCCATTGTTCTAAATGTAAATTATCATAACATGCATATAATTTGTGTTCATCATAAATAAGTGGTTCTCACAATGCATGCTCAATGCATGTATAATGACAATCAGAATTGGTTTTAATTGTTGAATCGATGCATCGTTACATACCTAATATTAAGAATGGAACTGGTCAAACATTCCAGGCAGAAATCTCCTAAAAAGGAGTCCCCAGACTTGGCAAGTTTTCTGTTTATGAACACAAATTTAAGAAAACCTTTTTCTGTTTGCTAACTTACATTTTCGAATTTGGGTCCGACCTTTGGCATTAAATTTTACCTTTTATTGTTTAAACTTTACATTGTTGTCCTCTGACATTTGACCTTACTATATGACCTCTAGCCCCACCTCTAGCCGTGTCACTGTCGCTGTCACCGCCACCATCCCCCCGTCTGCACGCGAGGATCTTCTCTTCCGGCAGGAACTTCTCAGCATCTCTGGCGATGGCCGGGAGATCGGAGCACCGCTCGCCCCCCTCCCCGTCCAACCGCGTCGGCTTGAGCCTCATCCCCTCGTCTGGCCCTCCTCTGCCTCCGTCTCTCCCACCGCCCGAACTCTTCAGGTTCTTCTCGGCGCCGGGCCCGTCTTGCCCGACGGCCACCCCCGCCTGCCGCCGGCGCCGCCTCCTGCGCCGCGAGCAGCAGACGAGGGCTGCCGTGACGAGCACGAGCAGCAGCAGCGCGGCCAGCGCGGCCGAGGCTGCGAGCGCCAGCGTCAGGGTGGCGCCGGGAGGCGGGTGCGTGCCGCTGTCGGCATCGCCGCCGCCGCCGCCATGCAACACCAGAGCGAATGCCGTGTGACGAACGTCGACGAGCACCGCGGTCGAGGCCGAGAGGGACCCGCGGAGCGGTCCCCGCGCCTCCACGTGCAGCGTGAGCCAGCGTGGTGGGGGCGCAGTCTCGTCCCCGTGCAGATCACTCAGTGATGACGACGAAGATGATGAAGAGGCTGATGAGACCCGTTCGGCGGAACTGGACGGCCGTTGAGCAAGCGACACTTTCAGCAATGCGGCATCTGAAGATTTTAATTTCAGAGCCGCTGGCTGAGCGGCTGATGATGATAACGACGACGATGATGAGGATCTTAATGCTGATGATATGGCAGCTGAGGAAGACGAGGTGGACGAGGATGACGAGGAGAGCTGGGTCCGAGGCTCCACCTTGAGCATGATGTCACCAGTGTAGCGATTGACGGTGAAGTACGGCGATCGCTGGGCGAGGCGGTATCGCACCGTACTGTCGGGGCCCGCATCGCGATCGCTGGCGCTCACCCGCCCCACCGTGTCACCCGCCGCTGCGCCCCGCGGCACCGCAAAGCGGTATGGCGCTCCCTCGAAGTGCGGCGCAAACTCGTCGGCACCTTGCACCAGCACGTGCACGCACACAGGCCAGCTGCGCACCGCCACTGACCGCATTGGCGCCATGACCGCACCCGCCGCAACGGCACGCGCGGGGGTATCGGCACCAGAGACGAGACTCCCCACACCACCACTGCCACCAACCAAGGTGCCGCGTGAGATGCTAGTAGTGGTACCGTCAGCCCCCGCGGTGGTACCCGCCACCACCGGGGCTACGGTGAGGCACAAGCGGTAGCGCGGGCACTCCTCGTAGTCGAGGGGCCGGGATGTCCGAACGGTGCCCGTGTGCGGCTCCACCACAAAATTACCGGCGCCTTCACAAAATGACGACGCAAACGTCGATGACGACGGTCGCGGCAGTGGCCGCGGTGGCGCTGGTGACACCGCGTGGATATCCCGATCTCGTCCGGCCAAACCGGATCCCGTAGATTTGCCACCATTACCTCCGGCGCTGCTCGCATGAGACTCGGAGTAGAGGAAGGAAAGAATGCCAAATCGGGGAAAGTTGAGGATGCGGGTGCCGGCTGGCTCATTCTCCGACACGCTGGCGTTGAGCAGCTCCACCGAGGAGAAGAACGCCGCCAGGTCTCTCTCGTCGGCTCCATCTTTGCTGCCAGAAACCCCCACGTGCACCGGTACAAGGGCCCGGCTCGGTGTGGCCACAGCACCTAGTGCTGCCGCCGCTTCAACCACCAGCGTGACCTCCGACCCCGGCGGTCGATTGAGCCGTGGCGCGCGCAAGGTGATGGCACCGGTCCGGGGATCGACGGTGAAGAGATTGTCCCGGTTTCCGGCAACGATCTGGTAACCTATGACCGCCGCGCCTTTGTCGTTGTAGCCACCCCCGCTATAACTGTCGTCACCATAGCTGTCATCGCGCTGGAACTTGGCCAGAACTCGAGCGACCTCAGCGCCGGCAATGGCGCTGGCGGGCAGACTTACACGGTACTCGGGCACCACGAATTCCAAACTCGACACCGGCTGCTGCTTCCCCTCTTCCAACCCCATCACCGTCACCACCACGGTGGCCGTGCTGCTCAGCGGGGGGTCTCCGCGGTCCGTGGCCGACACCACGAGCTCGAAGCTCCTCTCCGGCGATGCCGCCGCCTTCTCCTCCCTCTCCCCCGACAGCACCGGCGCGTCCAGCAGCACGAGCCGCGCGGTGCCGCGGTGCGCCACAGCGCCGGTCGCCGCGTCCGCGACGTACGTCTCGCACGCGACGGGCTCCAGCCGGAAGAGGCCATCGGGGTCGCCGGCTTCCAGAGTGAAGTCCACGCGGCCGTCGCCGGGGCTCCCGTCGGCGTCCGTGGCCGTCACGGTGAGCACAGGGACGCGGGGCCCCGGCACCGCGGGCAGGGAGGCGGCGTAGGCGGCTCGCGAGAAGACGGGCGCGTGGGCGTTCACGTCGCGCGCGCACGCGAGGAGGGCGGCCGATGCTGACCGCGGAGGGGAGCCGGCGTCGCGAGCCTCAACCACGTAGTGTGAGCAGCGGGGGCCGCCCCCCACGCGGAGAGGCCGCGTCAGGAACACCGAGCCTAGGGTCGCGGGGTCACACAATGGGGAGGAAAGGGACGGCGGCAAAGTCAGGGGATGTGCCATTTGGTGCCTGGCGGGAGTCTGTGGCACGGCTTGCTGGGTGAACCCTGCCTGCGAGGGGCTTGATGACCCCATCTCCAGTTCTATCCCTGACCCTGCTAGTTGCCTGTAGCCCTACCTATCTCTAACACCTCAACTGTTAACACCAATATCAGAGTCCTCGACCGAGCCTGAGCTTCAGCACTAAATGTAGCTTCAACCACAGCAGAGCTATAAAACTAGCCCTAACTACAGCCCTTATCATCTTCATCAGCAGCCATGATGTATCCACTGCTGGGTGAAGGCCTCCCAACAAGTCTTAGTCATCGCTCACAGTCTTGCCAAGCAAAAATCAATTTAGCTCCCGCACATGAGCTGATTTCATCGCTCCATCTCTGTAGCAGACGTCCTCTCGGGTATGCTCCCTCCTTCGGTGGCCTTCCATCATTCGTCTCATGCAACGACCATCCTCTCTTCCAGAGATGTGTCCAGTCAAATCCCAGTCAATCTGATGTCTTTTACATGCGTGAGTTGTCTGATCCGCACGAGTTAACCTTCTACAAGCCTCGCTGCATCTATTACTTGTAGATAATTCAAACCTTATACCTACCCCTACCTATAACCTCTCTCTTGTTACCCCCATTTAAACATAGTACCAGTGACACCTATAACCCATAGCCCTAATTCTATCCAAGAGCTCGACTCAAAGAGGTGGATGGCCCAGATAAGAACACCAAACAAGCAATGCTGAGATCCTGGATTTAAATCCAGACAGTCACCTGTGATTAAACCTGAGTGATTAAACCGGGTTCTGAAAACAGAAAACAACAAATAAACTGAAGGCACGATAGCTCTATCCTGCTTCCAACAACCTGGCCGTCGGGGGCACATGAACGTCCCCCCCCCACCCCCCACCTGTCCGTACCATTCATTGCGTGAATCCCGAATCCTCCTCTGCTGCCGTCACCGTCTCTGCTGCCTGGTACGAGCTGGTACGAGAGCCTCCCATTGGCTCCTGCGTCACGGTCACTCGCAGCAACCGTGATGAGGCTAATGAGCGGAGGCGTGCGCTCATCCACGCTCACCTGGTAAACGTGGGAGGATGGCGGGAGGAGTGGGAGAAGGGTGAGCAGGGGGAGAAGGGTGAGCTTTGGGGAAGGGAGGGAGTTAGAAGGTGATTGCATTTTACCCAGAGTTCTTGATGAACACTTGAAGGGTCATGAATTCAAACACTTGTCACACTCAGCTCATCATCACCATCGCTATTCCGGGGTTGATTAAATGAGTCTCAATTTCCGGCGAGTCAACAATGGTTGTCCTGTGCAGTAGCCAGCCCCTACCATGGGAATATGGAATTTCCACCACTGGTTCAGAGCCACCAAGAGAGGCAAGTGGCACCCTATTGCTTCCCTGCTTTGAGAAATGTTGTTTCATTGCAGAGGCTGCTCACTGTTGGGTCAGGTTCGTTGGGTGGAACAAGCAATCCATTGTGAGCTGCTGTGAGGTTCAATATCCCACCGTGACGTGGGGTGGGGGCCATAAGATGGCGGCACAGATGTGTTGGTGAACCTGTCTGTGCAGACATTTGGATGCCTGAGGGAACATTTTCAGACGAGACTCCCTTTGTGGTCAACCTCCGCCTTCTTGGAAGCCCACTGAGATCTGATGTATACACCTGCCCCCCCCCCCCCCCCGCCAACTTTGTCCCTCTCCCCCTCTCCTCTCCACGGTCATGCCCGCTCATGCCCACTCACCTCGTAGAGCGGCCGCAGGAAGCTGGGCGCGTTGTCGTTGTCGTCGGCGACCGTGATGAGGATCGTGGCATCGGAGCGGTGGGCACCGTCAGACACGCGCACGCGCAGCGCCAGCTCGCGCCGCTGCTCGAAGTCAAGGGGGCGCGCGAGCGTCATGCGCCCGCCCAGGCGCTCCACCGTGAGCAGGGAGGCAGCCACGGCGGTGGCGTCGTTGACATCGTCCGTTTCGTCGTTGACGGAAGAGGAGGAGGAGACGCTCGTGCGCTCCACGACGGAGAACTCGAGGCGAGGGTAAAGGTCGGGGTCCGATGCCAAGATGTGACCGATCTCAGTGCCGACTGGAACACCTGCGACCGAGGCGGATTGGAAGGCAGGTTGAGGGTGAGGCTCAGGGTGGCGTAGTTATCGAGAGTGCAGTCGGTGCCACTGCGCTGGGACGCGAGCACGCGCGCACGTGTGGCGTGTGTGTGTGAGCGTGCACGCCGTACTCTCAGACACGACGAGGTGCTGGCTGGCGGCGACGACGGGGGCGTTGTCATTGACGTCCTCCACAGTGACACGCACCAGGGTGGAGCCGGTGAGGCGCGGCCTCCCACGGTCCACGGCCCACACCTCCAGCCTACACTCAGACCGTCATCACGAGTCATGATTCATCCACTGCGGGATCAAGGGCTCCCCAAGCCATCGCCATCCCTCACCATCCCGCATTGCAAGAATCCATCTAGTTCCTCCACACGAGCTGATTTAATTGTTCCATTGCGGCAATTGACGTCCCCTTCTGCTGCCACTTCGTCATTAGTCTCCCCCACTGGCTATTGTCCCTTCTAGTGACGTGCCGTGCCCAAGCCCACTTATTTTTCTCAACAATCAATGTGATGCCTCAAACTTACGTACATTTTGCTCTTCCTGTCTCTCAGGGTAATGCAAAGCATGCACCTCTCATTGCTTCATTAGGCACTCTTCAACTTTTGTTGCATTTAATTCACCAGTGTCCACTCATTGCCCCTGTCGCCCCATCACCCCTCACTCACTGGTGGACGGGCGAGGCCTCGCGATCGAGGGAGGCAGTTGTGGTGATGATCCCGGTGAGGGAGTCGAGCCGGAAGCCAGAGCTCAGAGACCCTGGGGCGAGCGCGAACTCCAGCTGCCCCCCCGCACCTCCGTCCACATCCCACGCCACCAGCTGCACGCGCACGTGGGTACACACGGACATACGCATATGGGTACACACGTACGTACACACGGGCATATAAATTCAGACAAAAGGGTTCACATATGCACACATACTTACACATGTGTACATGGTTACCGTACAAGTTGGTACAAGGGTTCCTGGATACACACATGTGCACATGGGTACATACATGCGTACACACGGATGCACATGCTACACTTTGGTATACAGCAAACATGTAAGTACTCACATGTACACACATGTACTCGGGGTACACATGGACACACGTGTGTGCGGGAAACACACACATACACATGGGTATACACCAAAACACAGGGACACATGATTCACATGGGTATACATGGTGACACAAATGTACACTTGTTCACACATACAAAGACAAAGATCCCCCCTATAGCCTTACCAGACTGTTGGGGCAAGTGCTGTTAGCGAGCACCTATGAAGGTCGGAATGGCACACGAGGGGGTGGGTGGCCAACATCATGCCCGGCCGCCTTTGTCGCCCTAGTGGTGATGTTTACACATCGTACCAGGTACTCATTTGAGGCTCAGTCGACCTAGAGGAGGCCCAGGACCGGTTCAAATAATCGTCACTGGTGTTGGCCGTGAGCGGGAATCGAACCCGGGTCGCCAGATTCGTAGAGTAGCGTGTTAACTGCTACACTACAATGCCTTACATACACATGCATATACACAGGTACACTCGTGTACACATGGGTACGTGGAGGTGGGAGGAAGAGACGGAGTGAGCAGTGGGGGTGGGGGGTGGGCGTAGCTCAGGGCTCACCTGCGTCACGACGGTCCCCGCAGGCTCATTCTCCCGCACCGTCGCCGCCAGGCGTTGCCACGGGAAGCGTGGAGCGTTGTCGTTGACGTCGCGCAGCGTCACCGTCACTGCGGCAATAGCGACAGTGGCCATCTTGTCGCCCTCCTTGCCCTGCGGAAGTTCGTCAATTAGTTCATCCGTTCGTTCGATCACGTGTTCATTTACATTTATTAATTCAGGATTTGTGCATTCATAGCATTTGGAAGTTTGAGCAATGGGGTTTATGTCGATAGCAATGTATTAAAATAGCGAAACAGAATCCACTTGGAACCCTACATTAATGGAGGAGTTTCTGACCGTTTGACGGGGCCAAACTAACTCCAAAACGGATTTTCTTATGTCAGTGATGATGCCACTTCGTTAAGTTTCCCAACCGCACAACGTTTTCACGGTAACGTGCCGTCTTTCTGCCGTGGCCGTTCCCGCACGATCGCTGCCATGTGCACAGTCGTGCAATCCCCACTAGCTCTCGTCACCTTGCCAATATGCGCGTCACTGCGCACTTTCTGCCATTTGCTCAGTACCTCTGCAGCTTTGCAACTCGCAGATGGCAATGAGGTGGTGATCACTGAGCTGTTAGTTGTCTCCATTGAATGTTTTTTGCCCATTCTCCTCCCCTCAATATCTTCCACTCTTCGTGATCTCTTTCCACACCCATCTCATGCACTCCTCCAACCCTTCTAATCTCTTCCTCCCCCACCACCTTCCCGTCTCATTTTCCACCTACCTCACTTTCTCCTACTTCAATTGGCCTCGATTCCATTGTTAATTTTTCCCATCTGTCATCAGCTCGATTTCAGTATTTTCTTTGTCAATTCGTAAATTACAACTGTCCTCCTAGTTTCCATTTTCAAATCTTCATCTCTCTCCAGGGCGGGCCACGCTCTCTCAGAAGACAAACATGCACTCTGCAGTGGAGGATTTGTTTGTTTTGGCCTTCTGCTCACGCTTGCATCTACATTTTATTCCTGAGTTTTAAGAATACAAACACATTTCAATAAGTCGATGGTGTCATGACGACGATGAAGTTCATTATAGCGGCGATGATGATGACAATAATGACCTCTGTAGCTGCGGCTGCATCACTGGCGATGCCCGCAGTGGTGGCGTTGGGGAGGACGACGCGGGCGGTGACAATGACGACTCGACGAGGGATTGACTCGAAGTCGAGGGCCGCGGGGTCCCGCACGGTCAGGCGTCCTGCGGGGAAGCCGGGCCGGAGGAGATGGGGAGGAGGTCATCCCAAGGAAGGTGGCTGCACCGCCGAGGGGGAGCCAGGTGGCTGGGAGTGCGTGCGAGGGGGGTGAGTGTGGGGGCTGGTGTATGAGGCAGCAGGTGTGTGTGTGCACGTGTTCAGTGTTCATGTGAGAGTGTGTGTGTGTGCACGTGTTCGTGTGAGAGTGTGTGTGTGTTTCCGGGCATGCTGGCCACCTCGTGTGGCATGCCCGCTTTCATAGGTGTTCGCGAACAGCACAAGCACCAACTCATGACCAACACCAGTGACCTAGGGAGGCCATTCCTCTGCCTCCCTAGGTCGACTCAGCCTTAATTGAGAACCTGGGGTGATTGTGTAAATATCGCCAATAAGAAGACAAAGGTGGCTGGGTGCGGTGTTGGCTACCCCCCCCCCCCTCGTATACCGCAATGGCCTGGATTTGTGCTCGCTAACAGCGCTTGGCCCAACAGTCTGTTACAGACTATATGGGATGGGGGGGTGGGGTCTTTTATGCGTGCAGGGGGATGCTGCACCGGTGTTGGCGTTGAGGGAGAAGGCGCCATCGTCGTTGCCGTAGAGGATGGAGAACGTGAGCAAGCGCGTGATCGCGTCCGACCACGCGGCCTCCACCACGCACACCAGCGTGTCTGCGCACGGGTACGCGCACACATTCACACGCGTAAATACACAGCCACCATTCACCACAGCGCTTGTGCCAGGCTAGGTGCACTTTAAGGCTATTACGTGAAGATATGCACAGACACACACATACAAATACACACACATTACACGCGGCCACACACACGGTTGCACGCACAACAACAACATTCACCACGAAGTGGCAGGAACATTACCACGGTGCTTGTGCCAGGCCAGATGCACTCCGTGGCCACGTGAAGTGTCGAAGACCCCGCTGGCAGGAGGTCACGGGACAGACCCAGGTGTCATGGTTTGACTGACTAAGACGACTGACAGATGCGCCACCAGTGTAACGAGTTGCACGCACGCGCACACAAACGCACACCGGCACTCACCTCTGGGCGAGTGCTCGGGCAGCGTGGCCTCGTACGCCGTGGGGACGAACGAGAGCAGGGGGGGCCCCGGGGGAGCGCGCCTCCCAGCGGGGGGGCCTTGGCCCACGCGCACGGACACGACGGTGCGCGCGGCGCGAGGCGGCGAGCCGTGGTCCCACGCGGCCACCGCCAGATCCGCTCCGACGAAACCCTGGAGGGGGCGGCGCACAAGCAGCTCTCCTGTACACACACACACACGCATAAGCATGCATACACACACAGGATGGCACACACACAGATACATGCGCACGCATGCAAAGTAACGCATATACTCGAACGGCTATGCAAGCATGCAGGATTGGGTGTCTATAATAATAATGCAATTTATAACGCACGCAAATTTGCGGACGTAACGGCCGCAACTCAGTCCGCTCACCTACTTTGTGTGAACGTCCATGTCTGTGTGTGTCTGTGTTGAGTCAGCCTTAAATGAACACCTGGTGGTGTAAACATCGCCACTGGGGAGACCAAGGCGGCCAGGCCTTAGTGCCGGCCGCCCACCTCCTAGTTTTCCGCGCCGGCCTTGCTAACAGCACTTGCCCCAAGATTCTGTTAAGGCTACACGGAGGATGTTTCTTTGTTAAATCTTGACTTAAAGCTTTCGTGACTGCAGGAATTCATATTCTTTGGGTCTTTCGGTAAAGGTAGGTTAAAAGAAGATGTTTCTTTGTCTTTGTATGCCTATGTGTGTGTGTGAGCACCCCCCCCCCCCCCCCCGCCCACGCTGTGCCACCTGTGTTGGCGTCGATGCGGAAAAATTTGTGGGGGTCCCCGGCTTCCAGGCGGTATGCCAGCGCTCCGCCGGCGCCGCCGTCCTCGTCCCGTGCCACCACCGTGGCCACCAGGGCGTTGACGGCCGCGCGGCCGGCGGGCAGGGTGGGCGCCAGTGGCCCGTGCCGGAACTCCGGGGCGCGGCCGCTCCCCGGCACTAGCGCCACAAGGGCGGAGACGCGGGAGGATTGGGGGGGGCGCCCCCCATCCACCGCCTCCACCCACAGCCGGTAGTGAGGCTCAGGGACGTCAGTGGAAGAGACGGAACCGTCTGGCGCTGGGGAGGGAGAGGCACAGCGACGGGGCTGTTGTAGGCATCGTTGGCAAGATCGACTCTGGCGTCAAGGATGGCGACATTGTTCACGATACTATCCTCATCGTCAACAATGACCACCACCATCATTATTACAACCACCAACACAAAAACTATCAATAACAACACGAACACTATCACCACCGCCACCATCAACACCAGCAACGGACTCGTCAACCATCACCACTACCAAAACCACCACTACTGGATCCACTGTGCCATTACCACTACAAGAACTACCATCACCTATCCTGACCACACTTCACCATCGCCACCATCGTTTTTACCTCCGCCATCACTGCCACTCCTCTCCGGCGGTGCGCGGAGCCGCGGCACGGCCACGGACACGATTCCCGACTCGGGGTCGATAGCGAAGGGGGGCACGGTGACCCCGGCGACGCCCCTCGTGCCTCCCACGAGTCGGTACCGGACCCGGCCTCGTATCCCCGAGTCTGCGTCGGCGGCCGAGACCCACAGCACCGGCGAGCCGGCGACGAGGCCCTCAGGCACAATGGCGCGGTACTCGGGTCCCTTAGTCCGCTGCCGCTCCACTGACTCCGGTCCCGGTGACCCCGGTGCAGAGGGGACGGTGTCGCCAAACACGAACACTGGCGAGTTGTCGTTGACATCGAGGACGGAAACGAACACGATGCTTGTGGAGCGCAGTCCAGCACAGCCGTCATTCGGGAGGCGGCTGCTGCTGCTGCTGGCGCCGCCGCTGGCAAGAAATTGGGGTGGTGGCCCGGGGCCGCAGTCGACGGCCTCCACCACGAGGCGGTAGCGTGGCTTGGTCTCGCGGTCGAGGGGAGCGGCCGTGGTGAGCGACCCCGTGACAGGGTCGATGTGGAAGTGCGAGGACCCGGATCCGTCTAAGGTCAGGATGAGGGCAAGAAGAAGAGAGAGGATATAGGGATGGGGGGTGGTGAGGCATGGAGATATTGAGACACCGGTGCACGAATGCACTGAGATGCTGAGACATGGACATGAGACGGTGAGACACACAGAGACACAGGGATAGTAGGACACACAAAAACACATTGACACACAGAGACACAGTCACACACACGCGCGCTGACACCGATCTGTGCCGTACCCGCTAGATGGTACCGCACCATCCCGTTCTCTCCGGCATCTGCATCGGTCGCTACCATCGTGATCACAGGTGTTCCCATGGGGCTGTCTTCGCTCACGCGCGCCCGCCACCCTGCCTCATCACCACCAACATCATCCTCCTCTTCTTCATCATGCTCAGCAGCTGCATCATCGCCGTCGACATCGTCAAGGTGGCGCTGGCCGTGAGCCTGCGCGACGAGGTGGGGCGGCGCGGCAAAGAGCGGCGCGTTGTCGTTACGGTCGAGGACACGGACGACGACGGAGGCGAGGGACCAGCACGGGGGCGTCCCTCGGTCGCTGGCGCGGACTGCGGTGGGAAAGAGGAGGGGTGGCGGGGGGCATGGGTCAGGAAAACCGGGTCAGTAAACTAGGGTCAATATATCGGGGTCGGATCGCAGGGATCATAGTGTAATAAAGGTCGTGGAAGCGACTTCTGGAATCCGGTCTTTATTTGTCTTTCGTTCACAACACTCCTATCTTACTCCTTCACGCTGCTGACAGACAGCGTGAGAGGGAGAGAGAGAGACACGCGCGGCCACGTGGCAGCCTGGACCCCGCTCCAGCGTGGCCTCACCCTCCGTTCGTTACAGATCTAACTACGTGTTGTCCGTCTCCAACCCTTTTAATACCCGGGTCACGTGGTACCTTTCCACCGATCCTGGTTAACCTCTATGGAATCTTCTAGACTCCATCGTACGTTCCCAGGACCGCGCCCCTGACTCGTCCCCCCATTGGCTGTGGCTAAAGCCAGCAGATCAAATCCTCTACTTACAGATGTCACCATCCCATTACATCAGGGACACGCCCCTAGACTTCCCCCCATTGGCTATGGGCCAGGACCGGTAGAGCCAATCATCGTAACGAGGTGTGATCCATCAGCAACCCGGATATATCCTAACATTACAATAGTAAGGAATTGTACAATATTATTCTGGGCCTCCCGAAGGCCAAGTGAGCCTTAAATGAGTACTTGGTACAGTGGGGAGACCAGGAGTGGCTTGAACCACGCCACCCCCTTGCAAGCCATGCCAGCCTTAACAGGTGCTCATTAACAGCACTTGCCCCGACAGTCTATGTAGCCTACAAGGAATGTCTTTGTCATTTTGTATATGCACATATGTGTGGTCAAAATGTAAATGTGGAAACTTCGTCGTATGGGCATCGGAGCCGATTTGAAAAGTGCCGGTATGGCAAACTGTCGCATGCAGAGTATGGTGGTTAAATGGGTGAGTGAGTGGGTTGGTGAGTGTGCTGTTGTGATCTGCAATGTGGTAGCTCAACACAGTGTATATGAGAACAGTCAGTCTGGTAGACCGAGTCCTCAACATTTGTGGAGGAATCAATGAGTGAAGTTAACGGAAACGGCCACCATGGTAGTAGCGATAGAAGAGCGATAAGCAGGTGACTGACTAACGTAGCGATTGACTGGAGTGAAGCAGTGAGTGCTGGATCACCAATGAACCCGACTACATTGAATTCTATCAAGCACAATCTATGTGTGTATATGTAGATGTTTGTGTGTATGTGGACGCATCTGAGTGTACACGTGTGTACGTAGGTAAACTCAGCCGCGAATGAATACCTGGTGTGTAAACATTGCCACTGGGGAGACAAAGGCGGCTGGGTGTGGTGCCAGCCACCCACTCGCTTGTGTGCTGTGCCATCCTTCATAGGTGCTTGCTAACAGTGCTTGAGATCTTTGGCTTTGTACGAGCGTGTGAGTGTGTGTGGATGAATTGTGCACTGCACTACGAACCCGGTGAATTGAGTTAGATACCTGTTCATGGCCAACATCGGTGATGAATATCTTAAACCGGTCCTGGGCCTCCCCTAGGCCGACTCCGCCTCAAAGGAGTACCTGGTGCGCTGTCTAAACATCTTCTCTGGGGAGACAAAGGCGGTCGGGCGTGGTGCTGGCCACCCATCTCCTCGTGTGCCGTGCTGGTGCTCACTTGCAGCACTTGCCCCAACAGTCTGTTAAGAGGCTATATGGGGGATCTTTGTCTCTGTGTACTCGCGTGTTGTGAGGGAAGCCGTGTGAATGGCAGGAAGGCCGCGACGAGGTCACGGCGGCTGTTTGTGTCGGCACGGGAAGAGCGGCGAGAATGTGAATGTGCGTGTTGACAGCACTCGTGCACACACATGCACGCACGTACACACATATATACAGGCACCCACCACAACAACAACAGCAGCCACTGCCATTCTCCACTCTGGGATGCTGACATAATCAGTGCTTGTACCAGGCTAGATGTACTTTGAGACAAAGTGGTCTCAAAGTGCAAAGGACGTACACATCACGCGTATATAAAACAAAGAGAGCCTTTAGCAGACTTCAGGGGCAAGTGCCGATAGCGAGCACCTATGAAGGCCGGGACGGCACATGAGGGAGTGGTTGTGGCCAACGACACGCCCGGCCGCATTGGTCTCGACAAAACAGTGAAACCTCATAAAGCTGGACTCAAATGAGCTGGAATTCAGGGAAATCCGGGAAAATTGCATAAATAAATAAACCAACAGGCTCGCACTAAATCTCTAACCAGAATGATAAAATTAAGCTGCACGTGGTAGGACATTATATATGTGCTTATCAAGCCTAAGTATTAAGACACTATCCCTCACCGATGTAACTGACAAGCATATGTGTACTAGTAGTTCTAAAACAAAGAACTTATCTGTTGTATTAAATTCGGAAAACCCATTCTCTTTAACTTCACGTCCATCCACGTGCTTTGCTGGGGGGGCTCTCATTTGCGCTCTCAGTTTTATATTGACTTCACATTTCATTGATAATATCAGCGTGCACCTGTAACTGTGTACTCATGCGTGTGTGTCCATGGTGTGTACCAGTGCATGCGTACTCGTGAGCGTGTTCCAGTGTGTGCGTTACCATGCTTGTGCACACCATGACCGTGTACCCGTGCGTGCGTACCCATGGTACTGCAATGGTGCTTGCGTACCCGTGAGCGTGTACTCGTGCTGGCTCTCGCGGTCGAGTGGTCTCCGTGTGGACACGAGTCCTGTGCGCTCGTTGACGCTGAAGTCCACCAGTCCGCCGAGCAACGTGTACACCACCTCTCCCCCGGCACCTACCGCACACATGCACGTGCGGGCACACACACACACACGCGCGTGTAGTTGTGGTCAGGAATCAAACTCGGGTTGTTTGGTTCTGAGCACTAACCACTGCACTATCAATCCCCCGAGGTACACACAGCAGAAATGCAATAATGTACGATCAAATTATACGATCAAATAACCCACAAATCTTTTGTAATTTGTAGATTATTGGCAGTTCACGACAGCTCCTGTAATCCATGGCTGATCCTGTAATCCATAACTGCACCACGATGGCGTGACATTTTTTTCACAGCTTAAGTTTTAACCTCTGCGGTGTGCCAGGTGTTTCAGGATATGGTTCCCCCAAATCTACGTGGATAGCTGTGTGTGTGTGTGTGTTTCACCATCATCAGCCACGATTAACCCAATGCTGAACGAAGGCCTCACCCGAGCCTTCACCATCTAATAATCCACATATATATGTAGATAGTTGGCTATATGGCTATATGTGTACGTATATAAAGACAAAGATCTCCTGTATAACCTTTAATAGACTGTTGGGGCACGTGCCGTAAGATCTCATGGCGCGCTTTTGAGGGGGTGGTGTTGCCAACAAAACGCCAGACCGCCTTTTGTCTCTCCAGTGCTGATATTTACATCGACCTAGGGGAGGCCCACAACCGGCTGAAAAATGTACCACCAGTATTGGTCGTGAGTGAGGATATAATTAGGGGTCGCTGGGCTTGTAGCGCAGCGCGCTAACCACTGCACTGACACTCCCCACAATTGCACGTGTACATACACATAAACACTACCTTCATCGCCGTCCACCGCCGTCACGTGCACACACGCGGTCCCAGCGGGCGCATTCTCCTCCACGGCGCACTCGTATGTCACCGTCGCTCCATCACCATCGCCAACATCGCCATCATCCACAGAGCGATGGGACCCTCGTGACTCTCCGAGGGCCCGCTAGTGAACACGACAAATCGACCGGTCATGCGATTACCACCACAATCGGACGATTAAAGGAGTCGGTATCTTGTATATGTGTACCTTGACAGTGTCCCCCCACCCCTGGATGCCTGGCACAATTTTTTTACTTTGTTTCTGATAATAAAATAATACTTTATTGTTATGGCAGGGTGTTCGTAATAGCGTTCTCGTGATGTCATTGGAATGACAATGCATTCAACTCAAAGGAGGTTCTTGACAGGCACATCGCTGCACAGCTCGTGTAACTTTTTTCTTGCAATAAAGCTTTGTCCGGATAAAAGTAATGTCACAATGAAGTCACCAGAGTGCCATAATCGCACGATTGACCGTACACTGTGAAAAAAAATGGATTTTTCTCAAACAGCTTGGGACACACAACCTGGATACTCGACATGTAGCAACATATTTTTCTTAAAAGATAAATTAGAACTCAGGGATTGTGATCGATTGAGCCAGGGATCGGACATGTACCTCCTGCTGGGGCAGAAACCGCGGGGCCTGGTCGTTCACGTCCATCACCGTGACAGTGAGGGTCGTGCTCGTCTCCAGCCTCCTCTGACTGTCACCCCGGGAACTGTCGCCCCGGGAACTATCGCCGCGAGAACTGCCATCGCCGTGGAGACCATCCCCAAAGTCGGAAATGGTCAGACGGAGGAGGTAGGAGGCGTGGGTCTCACGGTCCGGGGTGCGAGCCAGACTCAGGACACCTGCAACCCGGACGAGCCCCCGAAAGTGAGACGTGGATTCGAGGCACTATCCGCACGTCATTGTAATTGTTGATGCTATATCATCATTAATGTCATCATCGTCACCTTCATCAAATAAGTGATCATCACCACCACTTTAAATGTTGATTTCACTGATGTCACATTACTGTCAACGTCGTCACCTGTCACCACCATCATCATTATCATCATCATGGTTAATGCATCCATCACTGCCATCATCAATGTCGTCATTACTCATGATATGTTTCTGCTTCATCAATGTAAAAATCAACAGTTCATGGTACGTGTTAAAACTAATAGGAGCTGTGATGATGCTGATGTTGACGGAGACCATTGTGGGGTTAATGGTCAGCAGTTTTATTATAGCGCTGATGTTAGATGCTGTGGTGGTGATGTTGTTGTTGAGAGTGGCCATCTTCGTTGCTGGTACTGCAGCGTCGTGGTGGAGACTTGCCGGTTTCTGGGTGCAGGAAGAAAGTTCCGTCCTCGTTGCCCCCGGCAATGGAAAACTGGAGACGGCCGCCCATGCCTCCATCGGGGTCACGACCTCTGAGTGTGACGAGGTCACGACCCGGCCGCTCTCCCTCCCACACGATCACGTGACTGCACACAGCAAAGACGAGCCTTTTCACGACACCACCCAAACCAAACACTTCACATGGGGAGAGGACATTTCTGCTTTGATTATGTTGAACTCCATGACCCAAGTTACATATCTAGCCACGACTAACGTCAGTGGCGAGTGATATCTCAGCTGTTGATGACCCACACCTTCATCAACCCGCTACTGAATGCTGTGGTGAAGTATGGTCAAGAAATTCCCATCTAGAAGTGGATTAGCAAAGGGCTTTAAAAATTATCACTGTCAAGTTTAAAAAATATCACGTCTCATCACTCAGCAATGAGTCCATCTCATCTCAGTTGATGACTGTAGCTCAAGTTAACACAACCTCATCAACTACTCCAACAACACAAAACATTGCCTATTCATGTTAAAATTGCTCCGAAATTTTTGACAAATGCATGGCCATTTTTTGACAAATATTTTGCCACTTAATGCTGCAAATCCTGGGCTTGGAAAAAGGGGTTGATAAAGGGGGCCGAACAACTAAGTTTCACCACCTTTTGAAATAAGACAGCAGCATGTGATTGAATAACATTGGATTCTCTACATCACGGCAGCAATTGCTGGTGATAAGAATACTCAGTAACGGATCCATGGGTGCCGACCATTCACGTAAGATAAATGATCACCTACACCTGGAAGAAGTCTGATGGCAACCTCACCTGGGCGGCTCCTGAGGAGGTGGCCACACGAAGATGGGTGCGACATCGTTGACGTCTCCGACGTACACGTTGGCCACGGCGACCGGCGTCCCCATGGCCTCAACGCCCCCGTCCGGGACGACAGTGACGACCAACAGGTACCGCTCGGCCACCTCGCGGTCCAGTGGAGCCGCCGTGCGCACCACACCCGTGGTGGCGTCCACTGTGAACGGGCCCGTGCCAGCACCCCCACCGCCAGAACTCCCACTGCCACCGGCTGGTGTCCAAACTGGGCCGGAGCTACGCCGTTGCCTGACGGGTCGGATGGCGGTTACACGGCCTCTGATGGTCACATTCTGCAAGATTCCCAGCCCCATCTCCTCTTTGCTTCGCTGTTCCGTTTCGTTACGGACAAACGTTTGTATTTCAGAGCCAGACAAACCCCGGCGCTGCCGCCGGTATCCGAGGTCGGTAAGAGAGGCGGCCGCTGGGGCCTGATAGGCGAGGCTGTAGCGTAGGCCACGGCTGAGTGGGGGTCCAGCAATTAGAACGGGCGTCCCTGGAGCGGCGTCTTCCCAAACCCAGCCCACCGGGCCGGTGCTTCGGAAGCGAGGGGGTAGGGATGGAGGCGATGATGACGATGGTGAACGGCGCTCACCAGCGCTGGGACTGACGGTGAGGAGCACAAGGACTCGTCGCACCACTGCAGCACCCACGTGCACATACAGAGTGGCACACGTCATGATGTCCCACGGGTCAGGCAGCATCGCCAGTGTCGGTAAAGTGAGTCGTTCGGCGGTGGAGGAGGAATTGGTCATGTGATCAGACAACAGACAAAGAAAGACAAATTAAAATCTTCGACATATATAAAAGTAAAAAATTGTTTGTGGGTTTATGTGTGTTCCCCAGCTTGCGAAAGATTTGTCTCTCCAACGGTGGGGTTTACGTAAAATAAAAATAGCAAGGTACCATGCCGTAAGCCCCGCCGTGAACAAGCACTATTCTTTTTCACATCCGTCAACTTTAAATTAGTTTAATTAGCGATTTAGTGCGATTTTTGTGTGCTTTCTCTTTATTTATTTATGACGCATGCACGACCATACCAACTCACGCGCCTTTGGTAGGGGGGACGGCCCATGCCAAGTCGCACGCCTTCGGTGGGAGTGAGGGGGACATTTTCTTTCTGTTAAAAATGCTATAAAAATACACTAAACGCTGAGGTAAATTTTTCACTGTGTGATGTCCCCCCCACCCCGATGCGTGCAGTTACTACCATACAGTCGGTAGATGCTACCACTATAGGCCGTAGATATTACTGCAGAGCGGCCGGGGAGATCGTGGCTGGGGGGGGGGGGTCCGGGGTAGCAGCCCAGCCCCAGCCTGCCAAGGTGCCACCTCGGCCGGCTGGACAATCTAGGCGAGGCCGGAGGCTCTGCACGGGACTAGGCCTCACCAAGCAACTCTGTCAGGTGAGTACTTTGTGCTATAGAGTCGATAAATACTGCTATAGAGTCAACATGTACTACTGTAGTGATAGCAGGTACCACCACAGTCAGTATGCACTGCTGTAATCATAGCAGGTACCACTACAGTCAGTATGCACTGCTGTTTTTGGCCCGGGCAACGCTGGGTACTTCCCGCTAGTCTTACACTAAAAGCAAATGTTTGTTACAAATTTATCTTTTTTTTTCGTTATAATAAGTCATTTTCATCATTACGGTGATCATTAAACAACACAAAATTACAGCCAGGTCTCCCTTTAAATGAGAAATTTAGTCTTAATAGATGTTCATATAATGGAGTGGTGGTGAACATCAGTTGTGAGTGATAACAAAACTGGTCCTGTGTCAAGTACGGTATGGTCAAACAAACGCCGTGGTCGGCTCAACATGGAGTGGCCTTCATTCAGCAATGGACTGACCAAGAGCTGAAAGTATTTTTACGGATAATTTACATAAAATAAAATGATTGATGAGAAGGACAACAATGATAATGATGATGTAAACAACATAAGCGAAAACTTACAATACGAGGGGCTCAAGCAGCGGCTCAATGCCACCTCCCCTTGTTCTTACCGGGGTCCCCGTGGCGACCGTCTCCCATCGTCACGGTTTCCACATCAAGCGCGAAGGGGAGCGCAGCCGACCCAGCATCGTCGGGGGCGACAGGACGCCGCAGGAACACGGAGCCCGAGGTGGCATCCACGTAGAAGGGGGAGTCATCCTCCACCTCCTCGCCCTCCTCTTCTTCCTCATCGTCGCCGTGAAGTCGTTGTCGAGGACTGATGATGCGGAACACGGTGGTGGCCACGGTGCTGGGCGAGGGGGGTGGCACTCGGCCGATGATGGCACCCGGGCGGGTGCCAGGGGGAACGGTGAGGCGTATCACGGATGAGGGAACATCCTCCTCATCATTATCATCGTCACTGCCATCGATGTCATCACCTTCATCGCCAATGGTCCTGGGGATGGCGTCCACCGCTAGGATCTTAACGAAGAGGTGAAGGAGGTGGTAGGGGAAGAGAGGTCACTGATGTGTGGAGAGTGTGTAACATTGTAAATGTTAGCAGTTTTGAGGACGGTATTGTCCACAAGGGTATATTAGTGTTGGGGTAGTGTTGTATGTTGAACTTCTTTCGCACCGTACGTAAACAACCGTGCTAATTGGAGTCTCGATTGCTAATTGGAGTATTGTCGCGCAGTGGTTAATGCACCGCACTAAGAACCTGCGTTAGAATCCCAGCCACAGCTAATTATAGTAGCTAGGTCTTAGGCCTTCCTTAGGTTGACTCAGCATTAAATGAGTATATGGATTGGTATGCAAACATCAGCAATGGGCAAACAATTTCAGTCCTGGCGTGGCGCTGGCTCCCCGCACCCTCGTGTGCCGTGCCGGTCTTAATAGCTGCTCGCTAACGGCGGTTGCCCCAACAGTCTGTTCAAGGCTACACGGCGGCAGGGTACGTTGAGGTGCGGGATCGTACCGTGAGGTGCAGGACCGTCCCGCTGTGCCGCGGGGGGTTGCCCAGGTCCCCGGCGCGCACCGCCAGCACCGCGCTGCGCGGGTCGCTCCGCGTGAGCGCGCGCGCCGTGCGCACCCGGCCCGTGTCGCGCTCCATCAGCAGCAGCCCCAAGCCGCCTGCACGCACAGGTACACAGGTACACGTACAGAACATGAGTATGAGTCCACAGGCATGGGTATATATACAGAACACAGACACGAAGGGAAAGCTCCACAGATACACGGGTATGGGTACACAGGCATGGGTGTACATATAGAACACAGCTATTGGTAGACGGCGCAGATAGGCATGGGAACACACACGTCCACGAGCAGGAGTATACGCACATATATTCACGAGAATGGTGAGTATACATAATCAGGTACACACGCACTAGTACACACATACACAATGCAAATATACACACCCACTCAAATAAGTGCACACCCAGAGGTTTGTGCACACATACCCACACGTATGTTGACACATAAGGAATTTACACGAGTGCAAATGAGTATACATAAATGCATGGGTACACACGCACACACATCCTCAAGTTAATTTCTTGTGATCTTGTTCGCGAATGCCTTTTGGATACAGTTTTGTCACATATGGGGAAAGAAAGGGTTCAAATCGGGCTGATGAAGGACTGAGGGCTTGAATAGAGGAAAAAATGTACAAGGGGCATTTTGGGTAATGACTGATCTTCATAGAGGGGGCGGCAGTCACTAGGGAAGTTTTTCACCCACGGCGCGTTTGAAAACGGCGACCGGGAAAATGGCGTTGGCGGCATTGGGCACTCACCGGCGGGCAGCGAGTAGACGACTGTGCCATTGGGTCCTTCGTCAGGGTCCTCAGCCATGAGGGTGGCCACCAAGGTGCCCACGGGAACTTCCGTCTCCACCTGCCGTGCACACCCACGTACAAACGAGTACGTGATAAAAGTCTCCGAATGGATTCCTTTCCCGCTCATTCCTCTCCCACATTTCTACCCATAACTGGCCAAACGCCACCACCACCACAATCACCACCAACCCCACTAACACAATCATCACCACCACCAGCTCCAGCACCACAATCACCACTGTTATCACAACCATCATCACCACCATTGCTGCCACTGCCACTGCAACCCCAACATCCATGGGACGTAAAGCCCAGCCAATTGACAGGGCAACCCTGAGATCGAACTCATGCCCCGCGGTGGCCGCAAGTTCGGTGTGGAGGGCCCCACACCTGCGCGTGGTATTGCGAACGAAGAAAGCGGGGGGCGTTGTCGTTGGCGTCGGCGACGGCGACGTGGACGCGGCACAGGGCGGAGCGTGGCGGAGCGCCGGCGTCAGAGACCCGCAGCGTCACGCGGTGCCACGGGCATGCCTCGCGATCCAGCAAACCTACGGCACGCACCTCTCCTACGCAGACACACACACATAGACGGACATGAGGGTGTGAGGCATGGGGTTGACAAATGGGTCAAGTGTAACCACGGCTCACACCTTTCCTATTAAGACTAATTTCCGCCGTATAACTGTACATGTGCCTATGAAGGACTGCACAGTGCATGAGGAGGTGGTGTGGCCAGACCCATTGCTGGCCGACCACCCTCGTCTCCCCAGTGTTTAAGTTCACACACTACACCAGGTACTCATTTAAGGCTGTGCTGACATAAGGGAGGCTCAAGACCGGTTAAAATATTCTTCACTTTCACCTTAAGCGGGAATTGAATTTGGGTCGCCGAGTTCATCATGCTGTGCACCAACCAATACACTACCACTCTCCACCTCACCTATGCATGCATTGATGCTCGGAAGGGACAAACACACAGGTTTAAACAAACCTCAACAGTGTAGAGCCAATTCAATTAGGTCTTAAGCTTCAGGCTGCAGGTCAAGGTTAGGCTTGACATGGACAAGCCTTCATCCAGCTGTATATGTAACATGGGTAATGATGATGATTTAATGACGATGGACACCAAGAGCTGTTTTCTGATCCCTTGCGCTCTTGCCCGTCCAGGCCTCTGTACGCAGATCACACTGTCGGGTTTGTGTCTCACCGCGTGTCGGGTGGACGTGGAAGGAGACGTAGGCCCCGGTTGGCGACGGCCCACAGGCTGCGGGGGACTCGACGTGCTCGACGGCGAAGGAGACCCAGCCGCCGGGACCGGAGTCGGAGTCGCTGGCGCTCACCATGCCCACCAGGGAGCCCGGCTCCCCCCCAGCGGTGCTGTCACCTTTAACGTCACCAGCGCACGTGATTACTACCATGATTATGACTGTCACCACCATCGCCACCACAATTACCAGCATCGTCACTCGCGCTCACCGCCCTCCACCATGTGAGCACCCGGGTCCGCGACGCCAGTGTTACCATAAACATCACCAACATCCTTCTGATTCCTACAATCATTACCCCACATCATCATCGTCGTCGTCGTCGTCTTCACGAAGACCACCGGCAGCAACACCATGAGCTCTACCACTATTTCACCGATACAAGCATCACCACCACAACCTTCTTAACCATAATCATCCTGATCACCATCATCACCATCTTCAACACTGTTAACAACAAAAGTACTAACAATGGCACTATCATCAATACCATCACAGGAACCATACACTCTAAAGTCTGTACAGACAGGTCAGCCACTCCATTTTGAATTCGACAACTACTGGCCACTGCTTTACCCAAAGGCCGGGATAATCTCCAGACAATCCACCAACCCTAACCTCCATGGGGCTACATCCGGCCGCCCTGGCACAGACACCGGCTGCACACTCACCTCCTGAGTCGTTCTCAAGGACAGTGAAGAAATAGTCGTCCCTTGCGGGTACGGGCGAGTGGTTATTGTCATCCGTGATGGACACCAGTATGCGGGCGGTCGCCATGATGTCCGGTTCCGCGCCGGCGCGATGACGCCGTCGGTGGCGATGCGGGGAGGAGGAGAGGAGCGGCCACACTGTCGGGGATGCAGGGATGAGTGGGACGAGCCGTGCCACCAACGTGAGGGTGAGCGTGGGAGACTGCTCGCGGTCGAGCCTGCACCGCGTCGTCACGCGTCCAGTGCGAGCGTCCACCCGGAAGCAGGACCACGACGATGGCGATGACGACGATGAGGAAGAGGTAGCAGCATCGTCGGGGGAGAGGCTATAGTGCACCTCCCACTGCTCGCGCTTCGTGCCGTTGCCGCCCCAGCTCCGAGCTTCCGCGCCCAACCGCAAACCTGCTCCGCTTCTGCTCCCGGATTCAAATCTGGTTCCTGTGTTAGATCTGGATACAGATCCGGTCGCGACATCCGATCCAATTCCACCCGCCGTTCCGATCTCGATTCCAGTCCCGGTTGTGGTCTGGGTTCCGGACGCGGTCGCGGGCGCCGGTGGGAAAGGCGTGAACGCGCGGAGCGTCACCACGTGCGTTCCGGGCATGGCGCCTTCCGGCACGGAGGCACGTATCTCGGGGGTCGGGAAGAAGAGCGAGGGGAGGATGGGAGCCGACTCCGGCGGCGCCGGTTCCACCGAGACGGTGACGTGCAGCGAGGACGACAGCGCAGGGGAACCCCCGTCCTGAGCCACAACCTCGAATGCGAATCTGCGGGGACAGCAAGACGGGACAAGCGCACGAAGGAGTGAATTTAGTGCAGCCCAGGAAGATGATGTCACATTATGTATGTAACATTTATAGCCAATGTAGCCAACGATACTGTTCATCGGAGGTGCAATTAGCACGGCTAGCTAAAACATTATAGGTACGAGGGGAGGAGATGAGTAGAGATATAGGCAGGGGTAAATCCATCTAGGATGTTGAAATGATGTGACCTTGAAATTGATCCAGGATTGGATTTGGTGCCAATATTTCAATTAACGCATGAGAGCGCGAGTCACATGAGAAAAGCTGCCCCATGTGATACACGCCGATGACTTGGAGAACTGGCAAAACTTCGGTTGGCGTGAACACGGTGGTCTCTGGTAGCCTCACCGTGCACCAGGAGCCAGGGCGGATGGGGCGACGGTGATGACCCCGGACCGCGGCTCCACCAGGAAGCGACCGTCAGCACCGCGCAGCGAGTACCACACGGAGCCATGCTTCCCCGCGTCCTCATCGTGTGCCACCGCCACCAACACCACCACCGCTGAACCACCACCACCACTGGGCAGCAACCACAATCGTACGGCCACGATAACCATAATGTAACGACAACTAGTAAACAGGATGACCGCCTACGCCAGCACTACCACAAGCACAGCAATAGTGATAGGCAGTGTTCAACCACAACGAGCATTGCCGTCACTGACAAACCACCACCACCACTGGACAGTCAGCACGATCACGGCCAAGACGACCACATTAAACTAATAAACACGATCACTCTCGCGGCGCACATGCACCCTTTTGCTCCTCTCACCTCCTCGCCCCTCGAACATCGAAAGTGGGCGACTCGAGCCGCACGTCCACGCGGTCACTCGGGAAGCGCGGGGCGTTGTCATTGACGTCGAGAACTGTGACGCTTACGCTCGCCACCGCCTCCTCCTCGTTATTATCGTCGTCCTCGTTATCGCCCTCTTCACCAGCAGGCCGAGCCGATCCAGGTCGGGATCGGGGGCCGAGGAAGGAGGCACGCACGCGAGCGGAGATGTGCGGGTTCGACTCCCGGTCGAGGGGGGCGGCTGTGACGAGCAGCCCCGAGGTCGGGTGCACGGAGAGGAATGGACCAGCGCCCCAGTACATGACGCCTAGAACACGGGGACAGGACACCGGATGGGACCGGGGGACAGTGGGACACGCAGAGAGGGGGACATGCGACAGGGGGACACAGCGACTCGGGGACAGGGTGATGAAACGGGTGGGGGAAAGAGAAAATGACAGAACAGGTGGGATCAAATGGAGGTTACGGGACATAGTGAGATGGTGAAATTAGGAAGAAGAGGGGGGGCAGAGAGGAAAGAGAAAGAAAGGGGATGTGGAGACATGAGACAAAGGGACATCGGGATACAATACACGGGCACAGAAGAAACATGAGGACACAGAAGAAGTTGTATTTGTAACAATTCCTGTGTGTGCACAGTAGGTGTGCAATAATGCATCAAATAATGTATTAAAGTTATGTTTTTACACTCAAAATGCACAGGTTTAAACGGGCGTGCGAGGATATTTATTTATGGTTAATGCAGTTTTTCGCAAATTATGTGCTAAATCTACAGTAAGGCCAATGGAGCAAGCAAAACTGTATGAGACAGGAAAACAACGAGACACAATACAGTATATGTGTGTATACGTATGCATGTGTATGCACAGTACTTATGTTCATCTGGGTATGTATATCGCTGTGTGTGTGTGCGCGCATGTGAGCGAGCGACTGGGATGATCCTTTGCCTGGACCGCACTCCTTAAGAACGACTTAACCTGAGGCAACCGCCTCACACCGTCTGTCCGCATCTTAACCTCAGCCAAGCACCCTGTGCCGTCTGTTCCTATCTGTTTGTGTGTGTGACTATGTGCGTGTGTGCAAAAACATCGCCACTGGGGAGACAAAGGCGGTCGGGGGTGGTGGTGGCCACCCATCCTCTTGTGTGCCGTGCCGGCCTTCATAGGTGCTTGCTAACAGCACTTGGCCCAACAGTCTGTTAAGATTATACGGGGGATCTTTGTTTTTGTGTGTGTTGGTCACAACACTTCATGATACATGCTGACCTTGATAAGCGCTCACTAACAGTATTCACCCCAACAGTCTATGTACTCGATATAGGGGATCCTTGTACTTGTGAGTGCGCGTGACTTACTGTGTACGCATGTGACTCTGCGTGTCAGACTCTGCATGTATAACTGTTGTGTGTGTGGGGGGGGGGGGGTGGCACAGTGGTTAGCGTGCTGCACTAGAAACCCAGCAACCCGAGTTTGATTCCTGCTCACGACCATTAACAGTGGTGAATATTTTAACCGGTCTTGTGCCTCCCCTAGGTCGACTAAGCCTCACATGAGCACCTGGTGCGGTGTGTAAATATCACCACTAGGGAGACAAAGGCCACCAGGCTAAGTGCTGGTCACCCACACCCGGCCGTCATAGGTGCTCACAAACAGCACTTTCTCCAAAAATGTGTTAAGTCTATATGGGGAATCTTTGTCTTTGACTGTGAGAGTGTATGACTCCAATCCTGGTAGCCCGAGTTCAGCTCACAGCCTTGGCTAATTTCAGTGGTAATTAAGTGAACAGGTTCTGGGTCTCCCTTAGGTCGACTCAACCGTAAATGAGTACCTGGTATATAATGCGTAATCATCAGCACTTGTAAGACAAAGGCAGCCGGGCGTGGAACTGGCTGCACCCAGAACCGGCCCTAGACCTTTGGGGGCCCTTAGCAAAATTTGGTTGGAGGCCCCTTTGATGTATGATTTTTTTCACCCACTAGCTAGCAGTGACTCTAGGGGGCCCTCTGCTGGCCACGGGGCCCTTTGCAATTGCAAGGGTCGCTTAGTGGCTGGGCCGGCTCTGGCTGCACCACACCCTTGTGTGCTATGATGACCTTAATAGACATTCGCTGACAGCGTGTCTGGCCCCAACAGTCTATAATGCTCAAAGGTAGGGTCCATGTCCTTATATGTTTGTGCAAACGTGTGAAGATGAAGTTGTGTGTGCATGCATGCTTCTGCGTGCGTACTTGTTTTTATTTCAAATGTTCAACCTTCACCAACATAAAGCCAAACTAAAGCTCCTTTATGATTATTATTAAGGCTCATACAGAGCCAGACTAAGGCAGCCTTAGGATGATTTCTTATTAAAAAAAAACTTTAGATATATTTTCCTGCGGGGTTTCATTTCCATTCGCACCCTCGGCGTTGCCCCACGAGACCACGACGGTGAACAACTTCCACTCCGACGCTCTCCCAGCGAGCAGTGCACCACCCCGCGTCGCTGGCGTACCTGCGTGGGCACTGGTGCCGGTGACAGTGCCGAGGGGCGTCCCCACGGGCGCGTCCTCGCGCACCGAGAACGAGAGACGCGGCCTCGGGAAGGTGACCCGGGGCCCCGGAGCCGGGGATCCCGGGGAGCCGCGTCGAGGGGGAGCGTCGGGTGAGGGGGAGCCGCCGCGGGGTCGGGAAGGCCCCGCCGCATCCCCCAGCAGAGACACGCGGACGCGAGTCTCCGAGAAGAGGCCTCCCTGAGAGATGGCGAAGCATAGAGGCGGGGTTATGGAAGAGTAAAGGGGGATGTATGGACACAGACAAGAGGGCAGGGAGAGAGACGGTGAGACAAATACAGAGATGAACGGAAACATACGGACAGATACAGACAGATGCGTGTGCACACAGAGAGATGGATACACAGAAACACAAAGATAAACAGACAAACACAGACAGAAGTAAGAATTCAGAGGAGAGAGAGCAACAGAGACACAATGCAGACAGAGTTTCACAGAGACATAAGCAAACACAGATACAGAGACACACATGCACAAATATTCTCACACATAAGCACACAAATTGGCACATATATAGAGAAATAGGGGCAAAAATACAAAGACATACAAAGAAAGATACACAGAAACTCCCATACAAAGACAAACCACAACACAAAAGAGAGGGAGACCCAAAAAGACAAATGGAAACACACAGAGGGTATGCCATTAACAATGGGAATAATATTAACGCTGATTAATTGAAGTCAATACGTGTAAACATGAATATACCCAAGCAGTTGTATTCACTCGCTGGCAAACACCACTCAGTATTTCAGCTAACCATGTTCAAAATGGAGTTGGGCTTGCCTGTAAAATATGGACGCCATCATTGTTATCACCAACATGAGCCACGGTCACTGCCCTGCTGAACGAAGGCCTCCCAAAGCCGATGCCATCTCACACTGGTCAGCGATGACCCAATCCGCCTTGCCATTGCACGCGAGCTGATTTCATCGCTCCATCTCCGCATTTTGTTAAGCACGGTTGGCTACGTACGGTGCAAAAGAAGTTCAACATACATACATTGCGTGTCCCCTCGGGCCTGTTCCCTCCCTTTGCTGGAACCCATGACAACTCATAAGGAAGCCTATGCCAGAGCATCACATAGGTTACGGTCGAACGGTCACCACAGATGGGAATCGAACCCGAAGTCGGCGTGGCTGCAGGGCGTGCGATAGCGGCGATGCCATGACAACGACCTCCTCCCGCTGCCTGGTGTCACTCGCTCGCTCACACAGGACCCCCTGTACGGGGGTCCCCCGAGTCTCCCCCCCCCCCCCCGCTGTGAGACCAAGGGTCAAATGGCCCACTCTTGCTGGTGGCAAACTTCCCCTGAGGGATACACGCACAATGATGAGGCGTGGCAGCGGCGACGCACGCCTGTGATCTCGGCGCTTACTCGACATTCTCCAATGAAGGCTGAAGACTTTACGCGTTGCCAAATGAGACACGCAGAGAATACATCTCCTTAACATATTCGTCTTTCCAGATACAAAATACAATTATTTCTTCCATAACCATCCGCCCCCACGCCCACCCGGCCTTCTGGGCATGCATAATTTAAGCAGAATTAGCTCGAATTGAATCAATGCTGCTGAAATTATGCACTCCCGGAAGGCCATTGGGCTGATGGGTTGCATGAAAAAAATACTTACATTTTACGTGGAGAGACAAGTATGTATGGCATGTTATTACTTATATTCTCCACAAAAAAGCAAATTATTATTTTGTCTATGCATTAGCTTTGTCCGTAACAGGGGGAGGGGCATGATAACGCTCGTGAAGTAAACCCAACATGAACCATCCTGTCGTATAAAGTTGCATTGCTATTCCAGTCAAATTGATCAAAGGGTTGCTCAGGACTCTAATTGGAGACACGAAGCAGAACAAAAAGGACTTTGCAAAAATGCTAATTTATGTTTGCCCCGACGGCTACTTATCAGCTTCTGTACCGCTAAATTGAATACTTCTGAAGGTTAACACATGTTGAAAAGGATTGCAGAATACATGCTGCATTTGTACACGTACATATATGTGGTCATTAGTAGTAGCCAAAGCAGTTTGATCATTAAAAGTCAATCTCAACGTCTCTCCGCTAAAACTCATGGACAGGCGCATGTCTGCATTTATCCCGACAGATGAGAAGAGGAACACTTATTGTAGATAATATCCAAGTCAAAGACAACATATTGACTGTTAATCAAGGTCAGTGGGTTTGGGAAGGCCGCATCTTTCGAAGCGACGATGGCCGGTGGTGCCAGAGAAATTGACAGTGGCAGTCGAAAGAGGGAGCATGCCTGGGAGCACCACAACCACGGAGATGGAGCGATGAAATTAGCTCGTGCGCAGAAACTAGATGGGATTTTCTCGCATTGCAGGACTGTGAGTAATGGTGGCAGCTTGGTAAAAGCCTTCATCCAGCAGTGGTGGATAGACCATGGTGGATGATGTTGGATGAGGCATCTGAATTTCCAATTATCCGAGATCCAAAAGGAAGGGGATGTTTTTTTTGACGTGTTTGTTTAAACGTTAAACACAAATTAAGCTTTCAATTTAGATACAAACACACATGTATCAGCACATACACACACATAGCTATACAAAATACACACAATGACAAACAACAGAGACACAAAGAACAAAGATCCCCATTTAGCCTCATGGACCGTGGGGGCATTTGCCGCTAGCAATCACCAATTAAGGCAGTGCGGCGCACAAGGGGGTGGGGTGGTCAACCGCCACGCCTGGCCGCCTTTATATCCCCATTGCCGATGCTGAGCCACCGCACCAGCTACTCATTGAGGGCAGAGTGGATTATAGGGGAAGGTCAAGACAGGTTCAGGTACCACTCGTCACTGATGTTAACCGTAGCTGGGAACAGAACACAATGAATAATAGCGCAGAATGGGAATAACTGCACCACCACCACCACCACCTCTACCCGCGTACGCTTACAAGCGTTTACACGTAAACAAAGGCAAAGATCCCCCGTGTAGCCTACACATGCTATTGGGGTAGGTGCTGTTAGCGAGCACCTTTTTAGGCCGTCATGGCACATGAGAGGGTGGTGTGGCCAATACACACGCACACGCGCACGCACGCACGCACACGCACGCACACACACACGCACACACGTGCACGCGATGGCTGATGGCAGAGACGCGCGTCTCTGTGAGCGGTGGTGTTGGCAGATGGTAATTGTGTGAGATTTTTGTGGAATCCCCAAAGAGACACAAAATTAAACCAGATCACAACGGCTTTACCCGAGCCGGCACTCACACTCGCGTAAGCGCACAGTCATGCACTCACGTGTACATGCTCACTAAACTTGCACACACACACATGCACTCATATGCAAACATGCTTATATGTTCACTAAAAAACAATTCTTACATACACTCTCTCATATACATGCATGCACACACACGTAATGCTCACGAAACACACTCGCACGCTCACAATTGTCGGTACTGATGCTTCCACACCCATAAATACACTAATTAAAGACAAAGACACTCAAAAACACGCACACGTCACAAAATACACACACGCATGTTACACACTCATTAAACACACTGAACACTAACACACACTCAACCCACTTACGCGGTCACTTGACGTGTAAACACACAAACTTACACTTGTACGTTTACACACTCACTCAAACTCACAAATACAAAGACCGCCGTATAGCCTTAACAGACTGTTGGGGCAAGTGCTGTTAGCGAGCACCTATAAAGGCCGGTACGGCACACGAAGGGGTGGGTGGCCAGCACCACGCCCGGCCGTCTTTGTCTCCCCAGTGGCGATGCTTACACAGCGCACCAGGTACTCAATTGAGTCTGAGTCGACCGAGGGGAGGCCCAGGACCGGTTCAAATAATCATCACTGGTGTTGGCCGTGAGCGGGAATACGAACTCGGGTCGCCCGATTCATAGCGCAGCGACCCAATCGCTACACTACCACTCACACACTCGGGTGGTGTAGACAAACTAAAACTCACCCACTCAAGTCAGAAGTGGGATATACTAACAACTACTCCACCAATGTTACACGTGCGTAGAGGTAATGATCCCCTGGCTGTCCATGCAGACTGTTGTTAGCAGGCACCTATTCAGGCAGGAACACTATATATGGCATGTAAATACTCAAAGAACCCTCACACACGAAGATAAAGACCCCCCGTATAGCCTTAAAGACTGCCACGGCAAGTGCTGTTAACAAGCACCTGTGAAGGCCGGCACGGCACACAGGTGGGCAGTGTAGCTAGCACCATGCCTGGCCGCCTTTGTCTCCCCGATGCTGATATTTGGCTGTGGCCATGAATCGAATCAAGCTCGGGGGGTTCGGATTCGTAGCCACGTGCGGAACCCACTATGTCCCAGCTTCCATCCAACACAAAGAACACATGCGCACAGGGCTGACACTGTCGCCCAAATCGACCCCATTCTGGATTCAAACTCGTCGGCGTCTCCCGCAGTGGTATTGTTAACGCAACGCAACAAATTTGCATTGAATAAATTTGCCAAAGCGCAACTGTTGAAGATCGATAGCAAACCAATCAATCATTCAATCAGTAAGAAACTCAATTAAAGAATTGATCGAGTTCATCCGTTGAGCGCGAGGAATACATTAAAAGGACAATGCATACATTTACGCACTCACAGCCACGCACTGCCACGCACATGTGCACCGACAGACGCACGTACACGCGCGTGCAATTAACATCCGTTATCGAGGCCAGCCTGGCTTGGGGCTCAATGAACCCCAGGGTTAGAGGTCAAATCTCAAAACGAGGTCAAACAGCAGCTGTCTGTTGAGTCACACACGCACATTCATTCATACACACGCACACACGGGCATTTCCACGTACACGCATACACACAGATGCAAACTAATACACACTTAAACACACACAATAATTCGTACATACACATGTATGTACACACGTACACATGCATTCTTACAGATGCGCACTTACAGTAAATACACTTTCATAAAGTAAACACGGATTGATGCCACGCAGCTACACACGTCAGACACGCAGTCACAAGACAAAGGTCCCCCTTATAGCCTTCATCGACTTGTGGGGCAAGTCCTGTTCGCAAGTAGCACCTATGAAGGCTGGTACGTCACGCGAAAAGGTGGGTGGCCAATCACATGCCCGACCGCCTTTGTCTCCCTCGCGGCGATGTTTACACACCGCACCAGGTACTCATTTGTGGCCGAGTCGACCTAAGGGAGGCCCAGAACCCGTGCAGAGCAGGAATCAAACTCGGGTCACCGGATTCGTAAAGTAGCCCGCTAACCGCTCGCACTACCGCAGTCACAAAGACAAAGATCCCCCGTACAGCCAGAACAGACAGTCACACGCGCTGAAACACATGTATTAATATACACACAGACACAAGACGAGGTTTTCTACGTATCGACTTTGTCGACTGTTGGGGCAGGTGCTTTGAGTGAGCACCTATTAAGGCCGTAACGACGCACGAGGGGGTGCTGTGACCAACACCATGCCCGGCTGCCTTTGTCTCCCCGGTGTTGATGTTTACACAATACACCAGGCAGCTGCTACATGAGGCCGAGTTGGATTAAAAGAGGCCCAGGAACGTATTCTGATATAACGCGCCACTAATGTAAGTCATGGCCGGAAAATAAAAGCAGGTCGCCAGATTTGTAGCGCAGTGCGCTGACCACTACAACCACCGTTTGACCACACTCGCACAGACATCTCTCCTTAGGTCTGGTCTGTTGGGGCAAATGCTTTTAGCAAACACCAATTAATACATGAATCAATATCCTGCATTGTCAAGGGAGAAAACAGGTTATTATGAGCGTGTGTAAGTGTGTGTTCATTTGATGTCCTTTATTTAGCCGGCTCGCGAGCCTGGTGAGATTAGTTACGTCGCCGCTGTAGCGATGCATCAAACATGCAATGGCAACATTCGTTTGGAGGGGAGCGGTGGCGCAGTGGGTAGCGCATTGCACCATAAAAACCGTGAGAGTTCGACGCCTGGCCGCGGCTAACAACTGTGATGGGTCATATTTAAAACTGGCCCTGGGCCTCCCCTAGGTTGACTCGGCCTTAATTAAGTACCTGGTGCGGTTTAACATCATCACTGGAGATAGAAATACGGTCAAGTGTTGAGCTGAGCGCAATGCCAGCCTGACAGCACTTGCCCCAGCAGCGTATGTAGGTGATGCTGGGGATCTTTGTCTTTGTATATATGTGTGCGTGTGCATGAATATTTGTTTGTTGTGTGCGCGTGCCACACACTGCCCCCCGGGAGTTCACACAGCCTCCCCGTGGCCTCCCTAGAGAGAAGTGAAATGAAGCAGGGACTGGCTCTCAGTCAAAACATCCCAGTGCACATTCATCCACACGTGCTCGTACAAAGACAAAGATCCCCCGTGTAGCCTTTAATAGATTGTTGGGCCAAGTGCTGTTCGCGAATAGCACCTATGAACGCCGGAACGGCACACGAGGGGGGTGGAGTGGGAAGCATCATGTCTGAGCACCTTTGTCTCCCCATTGCTGATGTTTACACACCACACCAGGTACCTATTTAAGGCTGAGTTGAACTAGGGGAGGCTCAGGACCGGTTCAGATAATTGTCACTGGTGTTGGCCGTCAGTGGGAATCGAACTCGGTCTACTGGGTTCGTAGCGTAGCGCACTAAGCGTGTTGCCACTGCTCCCCAGACACTCAAGCTGCACGGACAACACACACTCGCACACTAATTCACACATTCACGGCAACATGCACACACGTATTCACAGATACACACGTACACTGACATATAAACGACCGCATGCAGGAAGAGATACAACACCTACACAATCACATGCATAACAAAGACTCACACATGCGTATGCCTACATGCAGGTAATGGACACACAAAGACAAGATCCCCCGTATAACCTTGACAGACTGTAGGGGCAAGTGCTGTTAGCGAGCACCTATGAAGACTGGAACGATACATGAACGGGTGGGGGGCCAGCACCACGCCCGTCCGCCTTTGTCTCCCCAATGACGATGTTTACACATCACACCAGGTACTCATGTGAGGCTGAGTCGACTTAGGGGAGGCTCAAAACCAATTCAGATCATCGTTATTGGTGTTGGCCGTGAGCGAAAATCAAACTCTGATCCCTGGGTACGTTGCACAGCGCACTAACCCCTGCACATAAATACAGACAGAGATTACACACCCACACGGACACCTACAGCAACAAATGTACAACGCCAAAGATTCTTGCAATGGCCGTATATATGTGCACACCCAGACACAAATGCACTCGCACAAGTGATTATACCCACATGCACCCACACATGCTTGCACACAACACACAAACATGCATGCCCATGCGCGCAAACACACACAGACAGGCAACCCAAATGCAGGCATTTGCACACGAACAACACACAATACACAAATACATTCACATACGTATAAACAAAAAAACAACCACAAAAGCTGCCATTTGCCACTAAGTGGTGGTCAAATTCCCTTGTGCCAGGCTAGGTGGACTTTGAGGCCACGGGAAATGTGGAAGGCGCGCAGCCAAGAGGTCACGTTAAAGGGTGACTGACTGAGACTACTGGCAGATAAACACAGACACACACGGGCACATGTGCAAACAATGCAGACATATGCGTGGATGTCACGTGCAGCCACACATAAACACAAACATGCGTGCGCGGAACCCTTCAAAGACTCAACAGGTGCCAAGAGTTTCCCGTAAGCACTTCACTCAAGACTCCGGCAAATTCTCGGTTCGATCCCCGCAGGGAGGAAGAGGGGATGAGGACCCGAGGGTTCCCCTACAGGATCTTAGGCGCATACTGTACACTCGCAAACAAAGACAAACATCCTCCCGTGCAGCCGAATGGAATGCTGGGGCAAAACCTGTTAGCGAGCGCCTATGGAGGCCGGCACAACACACAAGGGGGTGAGAGATTTGGCTTAGCACTACGTCTTTGCCGACCTTCCATCTCCCCAACGCTGATGCTTTACACAATGCAAAAGACACTCACTTTAGACAAGAGTTGACCGAGGGGAGCCCAGTGCTGCCACTCCCCATACCCTGAGTGTAGTTTGGACAGTGAGTACTCATTTGGTGCTGAGGCAAACCCTAGGTGAGGGGGCCTTGTCCAAGACCCAGTCGGTGGTGCTTAGAGTTGAGTCACCCACAATGCACGCAATCTCACAAAATCTTGGAAGCTAGGCAGGACGGCAGTTAGTAGTTGTCTGGAATGCCAGATGTTGTAGGTTTGAGCTGTGAGGTAGCCAGGAAATACAAATATGAACGGTGAATCGTTGAACCTATCCGTGCAGAGCTAGGAGTGTTACCCCCCCTCGTATATGTGGAGTATTTCTCCGGACACTCTGGTTTCCTCCCACACGAAGCCAAACGCACATTCGTGGCACCAACCAAGCATCCCAATGCAGGACCCTCCTGAAAACCAGTTCTGAGACTCAGCAAGGTTTTCCTCATTACATAAATGGCACAATGTATTCATCATAATTACAGACCTCGATCAAATCTCCCAGATGAGCTTAATCTGATCAGATTTCTCACCATAACCAGCTAAGTTGCAGGGTAGAGCCGACAGACTCTGCGGGGCAAAGTGGTGGAGAACAGACAGCCGGCTACCCCAATCTGCGCTAACCAGCACGACCAAACCACCACTACCCCCGCCATATAACCCGCACGGAATTTGGCAGGCCCTCATCCAGCACGTGCGTATACGTTCCTTGTGATCGTTATCACTTCACGCGGAGACGATGATGTAGGGGTGACCCAGTCTCGCACCTTGTCGGTGGCGCGGACAGTGAACGTCTCCGTCGAGACGTCGGCTCCGAGCGAGCGGCTCACGCACAGTGCTCCGCTCCGAGTCCCCACGGAGAGCCAGGGGGACGCGGCGGGGGCATCCGACGAGGCGACACGGGGGACAACGGCCGAGGCGCCGGCTGGCTCCAGCGAGTAGCGGACTTCTCCGAACTCACCGCCGTCACCATCCAGTGCCACCACCTGCACCGGCAAGGCAAGGAACGGCGACAAGCGTCATCATCGGCAACAGCATCATGACCATCAGCAGTTGTAGCAGCAGCAGCATCTTCATAATCAGTTTCGGCGTAATGATTATTGTCATCATTGGTTTAAGCATCGTCATCATGGTAAGCAAGCTTTTGATCAGCATCATCATCAAGATCAGCATCTTCATTAGCACCATCGCAATCATGAGCGATATCATCATCAGTAGCAGCAGCAGTATCACAATTACTATGGACATCAACTCATCCTCCTCTACTGTGCCTAGAGCCTGGAACTCATTTCCACGAGAAATCCATGCTGATGACTCCTTGCCCCTCTTCCAGTCCAGGCTCATGAACTTCCTTTTTCTCCTCTGCCTATCACTGGTTGCCTATTTCTCCCGATACAATATACATGACGGCTCTTCCTGTACAGCCTCTTGGGACGCAGTTGCATTTCCACACGGTATACAAATTATACATTGTATACGCACAGGACACTCTCAAAAACGGCACACACACAATTTCTGGCACTCATATACACATTATACACTAAACACATGTACACACACTATACATGAAAGACAAATATCCTCCGTACAGCCTTCAACAAACTGTTGGGGAAAGTGCTGTTTAACGAGCACCTATGAAGGCCGGCACGGCGTACAAGGGTCGCCAACACCACGCCCGCCCACCTTTGTCTCCCCAGTGCTGATATTTACACACTGTACCAGGTACTCATTTTAAGGCTGAGTTGACCTAGGGGAGGCCAGGACTGGTTCAAATATTCACCGTAGTTATTGGGAACAAAACTCGGGTCGCCGGGTTTGGAGCGCAGTGGCTCAAACCACTGCACCACCACTCCGCTTACATTAATCACACAGCCACATACACACTTGACACACCGTACACACTGAACACACACTATACACCAAGCACTCACACATACACTATACACTTAACATATATATACTACACACTTTACACAGATACATTACACACTTAACACACATTATACAGTAAAACACACGCACACTCGCCACATACCAACACACGCGCGCTCATTTCCGATCCAGTGTTGGCATGGAAATTCCACAAAAAATGACACACATCACCATGTAAACTACTCACACACCTCATATCCCCCCACACATCATTCTATGCTCACACCTCAATACCGCACGGTGTAGGTCATGAGGTCATCACGACCAATGCCGCCACAACTCTCCATCGCTCCCTTCCTTATGCCAGATTTCTCAGAAGCTGAGCAGTCAACGACCAGTCTCCAAGCCCATCTGGCTCTAGGTCTTCTCACTGTGGCAAAGTTGACAGGGGGGCCCTCCAAGGACCGCCCTTACAGTCCCATTATCGCTGACCTCCGGGTACCACTCCAACGCCTGTCTCGGTAACCTGCCCTCCTCCACCCTGCACACGTGCTCCCGCCCATCACAACCTCCTCTCCCTGATCACATATATAGAGCGGCTAATATCCCCATTCTGTTCCAAACCTATAAGTTTCTAACCCTATCCTTCTCCATCTTGCACACGTGTTCCACCCATCACATGCTCCTCTTACTGATTACATCCGCAGCACTTTCGATGCACGTTCTGTTCAGAACCCCTAAGTCGTTTACCCTATCCTGGCATGAAATTCCTGGCATCCTCCACATGCTCCTGTTTCTCAAAGGCCAGAAGCTTCTTTTCTCGTTGCTTTGATAGAGTCCAGCCCCCTGACCCGGTGCACCGACACGGACATTACTCCTGCCTCAAACACCCGTCTCCTCACGTGAAAGTTGACCTCTCCACGCTCGCGCAGTGGTTTATGCGATCAACGTTACACCTCCTCGCCCACACCTCACCCTTCACCAAAACTGAAACTTTAACACCACACCTCACCCAAACATCACACATCAACACCACAGCCTCACGCGTCACCTAATCTAACATCTCAACACCACAACCAACTCAAAGTTCACACCTAAACACCACAACTCACTCAAAACTCACCCCTAAGCACCAAACCTCACTCAAAACTCACCCGTCAACACACCTGACCCTTCACCAAAACTGACACTTCAACACCACACCTCATCCAAACCTCACACATCAACACCACCCACTCACGCTTCACCTAACCTAACACCTCAACACAACACTTCATTCAAAACTCACCCCTCAACATCACAGCTCAATCAAAACTCACCCCTCAACATCACAACTCATTAAAAAACTGAACCTTTAACATCACAACTCACTTAAAACTCACACATCAACATCACAACTCACTCCTCAATACCACACCTCACCCAAAGAAGTCCCACCACACATACTGCTGGTAAAACTCAAAGTTCTGTAAATATTCAAGAACGTCTGGGCAATTCCTTCCATATCCAGTATTTTTGCAAGATAGGTCAACAACCCACTTGCTCTCCCACCATCAACTCAAAACCCCACACTTTGGGAGTCTTACAAAGGACGTCACTACCACACGCCCCACGAACACCACCGCACACCAACATCTCTCAAAGGACCACACAGCACCTCACTGCTACACATATCCCTCACCACTACATCTTCCTCCCACCCACACCACCACCAGATTTACATTGCTCACACCACCACAACACCCAACTCACGACACCCCTACAGATCTCACACCACTACCACGCCAGGAACCGCCACACCACACACCACCTCACATGCGTCTCACCTCACACCACCACCACCTCACTACCAAACATCTATGCAACTCACACCACCACATTCCTCTCAACTCATACCACCACTACCACCTTATTACCAAGCATATATGTAATTCACACCACCACCACCCCCATATTCTTTCCACCTCATGCCACCACTACCACCTCACTATCAAACATCTATGAAACTCACACAATCACCACCACATTCCTCTCACCTCATGCCACTACCACCACCAACTCACTCCCAAACATCTACGTAACTCACACCACCACCACCACCACACATCCACATTCCTCTCCCACCTCATGCCACCACCACCACCACCACCCCCCTGCTCCCACCCCCCTTCACTCCCTCCCCCACACAAACGTGAGCGAAGGATCACTCACGTAGAGCTGAGTGAAATGAGGTCCCATGTAGAGTTTATTGTTTTAGGGAGGAATCTTTAGACGGACACAGACACACACGGGGAGTCACGGGTAATCATGGGTAGATGCGCTACAACATACGTGGACACACGCGGAGTCACAGAGAGTCACAGGGAGATACATGGAGAAATGTAGAGAAATAGAGAGATACAGGAGGCACTAGGAGACATGGAGAGATATACCGAGACACGGGGAGACACATTGAGAAATTTGGAGACGAGGCACGAGGAGACGTGGGGAAATACACTGAGAAATTGGGATACACATACTGGAACAAAGGGAGACACGCGAAGGCTACACATTCTGAGACACGGGGAGACATGCATGATGGGATACATCGAGGCACGGGGTCACACACAGCCAGACACAAACACCTACGGGCACAGAAACACAGACATAAACACGCTCACACCCACGGGCACACATACATACACATAGAAACGGACACACACACACACAGAAACGCATAATAATATACATTCACAAACATCCACATGCATGCACAATCCCACAAATATACACGCATCAGGACAGGCAAACATCTCCAGGTAGGCACTCATTCTGGCGCACAAAGACAAATACAAAGTAAAAAATTCCCCGTATAGCCTGTAACAGACTGTTGGGGCAAGTGCTATTAGCGAGAACCTATGAAGGGCAGTACGGCACACGAGGGGGTGGGTTGCCAACACAGCTCCTGGCCGCCTTTGTCTCCCCAGTGGCGATGTTTATACACCGCGCCAGGTACTAATTTTGTGGCTGAGTCAAGCTAGGGGAGGCCCAGGACCGGTTCAGATAATCGTCACCGGCGTTGGCCGTGAATCGAACTCGGCTCGCTGGGTTCGTAGCGCAGCGTGCTAACCGCTGCACCACCACTCCCCACTAGCGCACACCCCCATTAGGGACCACCTCCAGGCAGACGAACCGACAGGTCGCGGCACCAACACGCAGGTTCACACCCCTACAGGCAGACGCACACCTACAGGCAGACACACACCTACAGGCAAACACAGACCTACAGGCAGACGCACACCTACAGGCAGACACACCCCTACAGGCAGACGCACACCTACAGTCAGACACACACCTACAGGCAGACACACACCTACAGGCAGACACACACCTACAGGCAAACACAGACCTACAGGCAGACGCACACCTACAGACAGACGCACACCTACAGGCAGACGCACACCTACAGACAGACGCACACCTACAGGCAGACACACCCCTACAGGCAGACACACCCCTACAGGTAGACACACCCCTACAGGTAGACACACCCCTACAGGCAGACACACCCCTATAGGCAGACACACCCCTATAGGCAGACACACAGCTACAGGCAGACACACACCCCTACAGGCGGACACACACCTATAGGCAGACACACACCTACAGGCAGACGCGACTCCAAGCGCACACACATCCACTGGCAGACCGGGGGTTTGGGAGTGGGAGGAGGGGAGTTGGGTTAAGAAACCCAGAACGGGTGGGGTCTGGCGTGTGTCCACAACGCTTACAGCTTTACACACCACACGAACACACACGCTACACACACGCTACACACACGCTACATACACGCTACACGTACAAAGACAAAGACCCCCCGTATAGCCTGTAACAGACTGTTGGGGCAAGTGCTGTTAGCGAGCACCTATGAAGGCCGGTACGGCTCACGAGGGGGTGGGTGGCCAACACCACGCCCGGCCGCCTTTGTCTCCCCAGTGGCGATGTTTTACACACCACACCAGGTACTCATTTGAGGCTGAGCCGACCTAGGGGACGCCCAGGACCGGTTCAGACAATTGTACACCCTCTCGCACACGAGGCGCACCAGCACACTCACGTATTCACACACACAGTG